AATGACGGGTTGAACACCACCGTTCATTCACCTGCAAAGCACAATGTGTCAATGGGCTGAGAGGATAAATTTATGGGGCACAAAAAAGATTGAGGGTTATTTGTGGACCAATAAGCAGTTCGCAAAGTAGGACACAATTAGCAAATAAACCGACAGGCGCAGGGTGTGAAAGCAGATGATGATGAAAACGTACTACTTCACTACAGATGCGTCTATTTTTTTATTTAAAGCACATAGCTCCAAATGTATCGGCATTACTATTTCGTATGTTCTATTCAAAAATAATGTGATTTTTTTCTTAAAATTGCTTGATTAGTTTTCTAGAAATGCTATTGGCTCGTTTATTCTTTCAAAATCCACAAAATCCTATTGATTGAACGTGGTAGATATGGAACTGTGAATAATCATTCAGAAATTCTGTCATTTTGTTGATTCAGTTTATTTAATTTGCATAGGTCGACAATTTCACGAAAAGGCCTTGAATAATGCATCTTTATTCTAAAATTTCCTCATTTCAAGGTGAGAGATTTCGATCACTTTCGCACTGAGGCCACAGAACAATTGTAAATATTGGAGAACACTTCTAATTGAGAATCAGGAACTCAAATCAAGTCATATGTAGAATTCAAAACGGCTTGTGCTGGGTTAATTTCAAGGCTTACCGATAACTGAATGGATCCTCAAAAAATGTGTTTGAATATTTAGATTACCTAAATCATGCGAAATTTCAAATAAATGTGTACGTGAATGTAGCGATAAGTAATTGCAAAAATATTGTCGTACATTTGCTTGTAGAACATTACATGTAATGTATTGTAGAGACTTTGTGTGCATACTTGCATTCTCATATTAAGCAATTTCGCAGTCTAATTTGCATACATCAGCCGATTGTGAGTCAGCTACAGGGGAAGACTAACCGTGGTTTAGTCATAAATAGACTTCATGAGGTCACAGTTAACTTATCTTTTGATGGCTCTGTGCAACGAATTAATCAGCTCGTCATTATGCAAGCACTCATAGATATAATTCTATAACCACGTTGGGAAGATTTTGCATCGCGTTGGAAAAGTTGAGGTTAATATGGGGAATATTTTGAATACGGCCTGATAGTAGTCAATTTGAACCCCAATACGGTCCCGTTTTTTGTCAAACTATCCTGACCAGGATTGCCAACGTAAAGTGGGCTCATATTGTGAATCACTTGGAGTACTTGGCGCTCAATCAAAGGGGTGGGACACCTTTAACTATTCGAATATTTTATATGGATTAGCTTATGAATATATTGGGCAGGCCAATTATTTTAGCTATGGAGGTTACGGTTTCATCAGATTAAAATTACCCGAACTTCCAGGAGAATGCTTGGATAGTCACCATTATTATTAAACCAGTTGAGGCTGAATTGATTAAACTCCTTTTTCAATCACAGTCGCAAGGAGCCAAACGTGCATACCTCCGCACGATGGGAGCAAGTGACCGAATCTGCGTGGTTTTTATGGCAGACAATCCCATGTGTGAAGCCATGGCAACAAGGGCTTACACGGATCTTCACCTTACCAAAATGAATGACATTACCAGCCACAAGAAGTAGTTTGTGGTACAACGTTGGCGCAGTAACATCATATGGGTGTAAATTGTTGCCCTTAAAAGATGTTCTCGAATAAGTTTGAACCTGCCTAGACTATTTTACTACCAACTACTATTTTTCGTTGCTGCATCTCTAAGTGGCACCCTGCCATTGCCACATCCCTCTTTTAATTAGTACGAGGACTTCATTTCAGGCAACATGGAGTTTGATATGGGATGCAATTGCAGATCTAATTTTGATCTACATTCATGGTTTCAATGTTGCCAATTGAACCACCCATTAATGGGTATTCCTCTAGAATCCTTTTAATCTGACAGACAAATTTTATAATAACTACTTCCACAATAAAATTTTAGCAAATAGATGCTTTTCCAGGAATGGCATCATCGCTAATGTACTAATACCAATGCTGCGTATCGGATGTGCTTAAAAATATTGTTCAAGACGAGACATACGGAGAGGTACCTTTGTAGAATACATAGAATCGTCAAAACACCGCTTACAATTCAGATAACGTCTTCTTAAGCCGGTGGTTTTGTAGTTGTATATTCCTTGAAATCTGTTCCAAATACGTCAGTAAATGCACAAATATGGTACAAACCTGGATCACTGATGAATACTCAAAATATGTAGGTTGACAACAGCAAATTGTGGCAGACTCGATTTATGCTTCAGATTACAATTAACATTCATCCCACAGGAAAAATCAGGAAGTTATTTTGACAAAGCACGAGTCGCATTGTTGATAGCAGCTTTTTCTCGTGCTGCTCTGACTTGTCGTTGGCAAACTCACATGCTCTAAGAACCACCATAAAGACCCCTAGTTTAAAGCATGCCCCACCTTTCCCGTCCAGGACGAAGACATGACCTCGTGCACTAGATTGTGGTGTCGCATTCAAGGGCAGGGTGAAATGTCGGAATGAACATCTTGAGTGTGCCTTGGGTGAACTTGACCCGATAGACTGTGTGGGATTGCCATCTATGGGGATTGACATTTTGAAGCCGATGTAGTTTTACTGCACAAACACTGTGACTATTGAGGTGCTTTAGCCAAGGCAATCTTAAAAAATGAGAAAAAAAATGAATTGATGAAGTACCAGTCTCAATTTAATGCAGAAAGCTCTCCTTGTGAGTGCACACGTCCCATTATATGCGAGAAGCCTGGTAAAAGTAAATTAGGGTGTTTAGGATATATGATTAAGCATAAATGATTGGTACTGCTTAAGCCACTTTTGTTCGATATATTAGGGCAGATCACGTGTTTTTGCAAAAGAAGATAAGTTGAGCAAGGTAATGTCACCCTTAAAAGATTTCAACATATTATTTTCTTAACTAAAATCGCCAAACCGTATCGCGTACCATCACAACTAACTCTGTTGCGGCCATTGCAAATAGAAGACGTTTTACAAATTCAATCATACCTTAAACTTAACCTTAACCCAGCGATTACGTAGTGAGCTGCTAATCTTCTTTACAAACATTGCCAGTTGAACTCAACAGGCGCCTAATAGCCTTGATAAATTAAGATATTTTTATCACAATTTATTTTTTCATTAACGAACTTTAATAGATTCTTGCTAATAGACGTCTAGGATTCTAAACAAGTGTTCCTGAAATTTGTTTTAGCATAATTGTCGAATAGAACTTCTTAATGTAAGGAGCTAGGATCTCATTTGAAATTCTCGTGTTTAATGGTAGATAAGTTAAAGAAGTTTATTCATTTGATTTGTTGTAATTAGGCGCTAAAACATAATAGTGAAGTAAATTTTTGAAATATGGATTATTATTTGAGTAATATAAAATAATAAATATTGAGAACACATGAACAGACTCCTAGCCAAGTAGCATAAAATTTTAACTTCGATTGTACTGGCTGTATACACGAAACCATGATAATTTCATTAAATAGCATTATATTGTTTAGCAAAAGTATGCTGTAAGCAGATACAACTTTAATCAAAGCTTATTGATCTTGGACGCTTTACAAAATTTAAACGAAATAGATAGCTCCAAATTAAGTGGTCCAGGATCTGCCTAGGAACTTTGTCAAAACTTTTGCTTAAAACTGTAGATTTTGAAAATGCATATATACTTCTTAAGGCAAAAGAAACAAATAAATGAAGTTTTTATGATTTCTAATTTATGATAATGTAGAGTCAAGGTTTCCGCAGAGCGTAATTGATAGCTGCCTTTAAGGGGCAAAACGCGTGACGAAATTCGCTCCCATTTGTCTGCCAAAATTTTTTATTTAAGATCTTACAAAAATTTGTGAGTTTAAAAATAAGGCTTGATGACATTTCGTCAAAATTAAAGCAAAATCTTACTCACTTCAAAAGGCTCAAATATTAGTTACACTATTTACCTTACCACTGCTAATAAGTCGTTTATTGGACATTTTGCATCGCAATGCGCTAACTGCCTAATAAACGCCTAATCCATACTTTTAACAAAGGTAAATAAAATGCACGAAATGTTTGATTATTATCAAGATCAATTCTTGAAATAATTGGATGAAATATTCACCATAATATGTGGAATGTCTGTAATTACTGGCTCAAGTTCATGAAATGAATCTCTAGTTTGACGTACCGTTGGGCACGTAGATTTACTATGTCGTCGTTAACCATTAACCAAATTTTATATTGATATATTTATTTTTACGCTGTTGATAGCCGTTTTCAAGCACTGCTGTTAAATCTACCGAGATTTATTCTATGGTAACTTCTCACGGAGCACAATTTTTATCACATACATCAGTCTTTTAAGTTTTATTCAGTATTTGCAATGACTTCCTTTATTGTTCTGAAACCGAGACAAATTGAGACAAAAACATCTGTATTGGATATTGTAAACCTTGTCATTAGTCAAATTTTTACTATTTTGCGTAAACATTAATGTGGACACCTCACAACTGTCACTTCAAATTGAGCTCAAAGAGGTAGACTGGAGTTTTGTTCCTATTTACATTCCTCTAGAGGATGAGACCGTAAAGTGTTGTTTAATTCTGCCACGATATACTTATAAATATTTTGGTAGTGTTTCTTTGAAATTGCGTGGAGATTACGGTAACTTATAATCATTTCCCATGAACAAGTAACTGTAATTAGCAAAACATGATTACTACTCTCCTAACAATCTGAGGTCTCAAGACAGCTTACACCATATTTATCCATTTTGTGGATAAACGACTTCGTTAAGTAGCTTATTTACTAAGCTTTCTTCTAATACGGGGTGGGAAGTGCAGATTGGCTTTTACCAAGGTTATTATCCCTTGTAGAATTAGTCGTGAATTCAAATCCTTATTCCCTCCGTTCACTATTTACTCATTCCTTTGCGTGAGGCAGTCAAATTTCACAGTCCATCCATATCATTGAGATGGCAAAGGTAAAGAAGTCTGCGGATCTGTCAGATCTACATGAGAGGCAAGTATTTTCTTCTACCTTATCTTGCTTCCAGGATCATGTCAATTCTGGCATCACATACTGAGCCAGTGACTCAAAAAAATTTTGAAACTGAACTTCCCGACGTACCGTTGGCTCAAGTACTCCCAGTTCTCAACAAATTGCAGAAAGAGGGTCAAGTAGAGGTTATGGTGAATCCCAATCGGACCCTTTCTTGGCGCATGCGTGAAATCAGCAACCTTGAGTAAGCTATCCTCTAACTGGCTTCTTATTTTAGCAAATTGAAATCTATTACTGACATTGAGGAACGCCTTGTATACAACTGCATTCGTAAGAATGGAAACGAGGGAGCGACTGTCAAGGCCATTTCGATAGACGCAAAACTTCCCCAGAATCGACTGCCACGCATTCTCAAGGCTTTAATGGGTCGAAAGCTCATCAAGGAGCTGCCAGTATTGGCTGGCAATAAACAAAAAATTTATCTACTCTATGAGATTGAGCCAAGCAAGTTACTAGCCGCAAATACTCTGTTTGCTGGAGAAGCAGGAGTTGATGGAGAATTTGTGGCAATGTTGCGAACAGCCTGTTTGAAGTACATTCAAGACAAAGTGAGTCGTTGACTAAAGTGTGACGACCGTCTGCTTTACATTATTGGGCTCTTAACTGCTAGAGAAATCTGTTGCCTTTCAACCAACTTTTTTTGGTTTTCTGCCTCTAGTGCACTGGTTTTGAGCACTTACTGGGAAATTGTCTATTTTCTAAATACATCACAAGCACCTTATGGGATTGACGTGATCCAAAATTCATTTTAAGTTTAAATCGCTAAGGCGGGATTTAATAATTAATATCAGTTTTGGATTAGTAGGTTACCGCCACTTAAGTATCAGTAATATAGGTATTGACGGTAATCAGCATACTTTTTATGTCGATCAAGAGCCATTTCAAAAAAACGTGTTTATCCGCCAAGTGAAAGCAACAATACATGTGAATATCTTGAAAATCTTCGATTAGTGTCACTATTTTGTGTGTGTCAGGCCGAGGTCGCTTCCCACATACTGGACCCCCTCGCCAGGAGAAACTCCTCTTACGCCTCAGTGGAGGAGTTGCACCGCTTCATCAGCAACGCTAAACTCTGCACGGTCAGTATGATTTTAAAAACATTTCCCGCTTACTACTCAGTGCGCTTTCTCCCACAAATGCAGCATTATTTGATTCGTTCTCAACGCCTAGGTTCCGCTAACACAGGATGACGTAAAGACTGTGCTTGACGCCCTCATGTACGGCGGGGAGCTGGAAATGAAGCAGTCAGCAGCAGTGAGTCTGAACGGTGAAGTTACAGACCCCAACGTAGACGACACCAAATCCTTCCTCTATCGTCTTGCGCCACGAACACCCAGTCTTGCCTTCCTCTCTCGGATCCCATGCATAATTACACTCGTAAGTGACCCTTCCTATTGATTTTAGTTGCTCATCCAACCCATGCTTGCATAAATTTATGGGCCTTAAAAAACTGACAACACCGCCGGGACAGACACCTCATGATGTGCTTTACTGTGTAGGAGCTGCTTGTCTTACAATGAGTCATGCAGCTGCTCATTACAATGCAGTGAAATTTGACTGTGAATTTGCAACACAGCCTGTGATTATTTTATTTAATAACCCCATGAGCTTCAGGTAACCCTTTTTCCACCAATCACACTCACGAGTGAAGCACGTTGTGTTACTCGGTGAACGGATATTTATCAAGGAATCAGTCCAGGCGAGTCTGGTGCACGATTTACCAACAAATTCCAAATTTAGGGTCGAAAGAGGAGCCGGACTGGCGGAGTCGTTTGCCCTGCTGGATGCCCTTACTTTGCCGCTTTCTTGGACACCGAAAATTCTTCAGTTCCAAATGCAAATAAAACAAATGAATAAATTCTTCCAAAACACCTTTAAGCACTTTTACAATTTTAAGGATGTGAGTAATACCTAAGTACGTAATTCTCGCATTATTTACACAGTGACATACGCGTGAGATTGATTTGAATTAGGAAATTACAAAAGTTGGATTTTCTGTATAAAAATTATGCTATTAAAGGGCTTAATACCAGTAAGTAGGCATCCGCTTTCTCTTATCTAATGGTGCATATAGACGTGTTAATTCCTCTTCAAACGTCTCCAGTTTTTGCGGACCGACGAAGTCGACTGTTGTCTTGGTTACCACTTCCCCAGGGGTGTCCTTGTCCCCGGCTTCAGCTGCGACCGGGTCTGTCAGATCGTTTAGAACACGAGATGCCGTCGGGAGGGGTATCAAATGGCCGCTTCGTTTTGAGACGCGCACGCGATTCCCTTGGGCGTCGTACCGCCAAACCACGTCGCAAGGTGAATTGTCCGAAGGGTCAATAAGAGCGACCTGTGTAGCAACAGAATTCCTACTTACAAAGTTCAGTAGACGCTACGTGCGCTGGCACGAATTAGTGCACGACCCACCTCTTCGTTTATCTTGAGATAGCTCTCCTCAAAAATTAGAGCACCCGAGGCCTCAGGAGATCGATATCGGGGATTCAGACCTTCAACGTAGACAAGATTGCGCATCTTAATGACTGAGCCCACGATTCCAACCTTCAAATAAGAAAGAACACTGGCCTTTAGGCGGTTGCTGCCTAATGAGACGGTAGCGATGCGCTTTTCTTTTAATTAAAAAAATGTCAGATGGAAAGGAAATGAGAAGAAACCAGTGCCTAAGATTATGACAGAGAGGTGCACAACACGAGTAGATAAATATGTGGTAAATTATGACGAGGAAACAGTACGATGCATGGACTGCGCTGCACAGTCCTGCGTTACCTCGTTCTAGGTGATATGTACATAACCCGATTCCGAATGCAGTAGAAAGTCTACAAACATCTAGTCAATGCACCAGTTTATTCAAAGTACGGCGGTTTCGTTGCCACTGGTAGAGCAATTCTATGCTGTATTTGATGAAAGGAAATTCCATTTGGCTAACTACGTAATCCGAAACCATTTGACGCCATGACCGAATAGTGCGTAAAGGATGCCTCATTCTGATGTGGCAAACGTTAACACCACCTAATATTTTTACAAGGATAATTGGCTAATGGAGGCCGGATGTCCGCACCGATGCATAACTGCAACTGCGTTGATCATCAAGTAGCCGAGTGAGGATGGCATTGTCTTCACCCTTCTAGACGTACTAGAGATAGCCATCTTTGATGGAGATTGGACAGCGTGACCGAACCTCACTAGGAAGGGTTAGAATCAATAAAACATTCTCTTCTCGAGGGGATTAGGTCACTACCTTTGAGGTGACTTGGTTGGAAAAAACTGCTTCAATTTTCACTTTCATTATTGACCAAAAATTGAAAACCTACTCCAAAACACTTGTCCCTAGTGCCAGTTTTCACAAGTATTTTAGTTGGAAAGTTAAGGGCAGCGCCTCGCTTACCTTCCCCTTGCTGATCCCCTTGAGTACGACGACGCGATCGCCCTTGAAGATGGTTTGTTTCTCCGGCGGCATTCCGGTTAGTCGTTCGTGCGTCTTGGTTTTCCCGTCGGGATGCACAACGCACCAATCCGTGCGATAGGGGAACTCGGAGAGACGATTGGCTATGTTCCACGGGGGCTGCTCTGAGAAGCGCCACACGGGAAGCCACTTCTCTTCGGCGTACTGCAAGAACGCAACAGCGATATGCGTGGCATCGATTCATTCACCAAAACCGCATCACGGGCCCTCAGTTGGGTAACTACACGGCTTACATCGTCGTAGTGTACTTACTTAAGGAGCACAATGGTAACGCGTGGTGTATAATTCACCAGCGACTAAGCTTAATCCAAAGACAACCGGCCAAATAAAGTAAGGGTGCAATCAACATTAAATTCAGGTAAAAATTTTATCAGAGAACGAATAGGCTTTGTTTTCACTCGATTTAGAGGGCCCATGACCTCCAAAACGGGTCTCAATTCCAACCAATAAAGAGTTCCACTCCAGATTTTGGCCTCATGGGTTTTTTTCCAGAGTCCAAAGGGCTCCTTTTAGTCCCCAAACAATTGTCCCCTTCAAAGGGGATAGCTTTTGCAGGTTTTGCAACAACTCTTTCGACAGAAGTTCGAAAGCAAAAAGCATAAGGCAAAATCCAACTCGAAGCAACTGTTGCGCATGATTGCAGACAGACGTGAGATCTGAGATTCTCGGTAGGCACAGCTGTTTCAAGTCATTAAGGAAATCAGAACGTCGTGTGGCTTGGGATTGTACAAGACCAATAAGTGGGGACGCGATATCTCCTCATTGCGAAAGTGGCATCAAAAGCTTACCTCGTGAGGTTTTGCGTCTGGCAACTCAAAGGGCATCGAGCGATCCATTTCAAATGACCAGCCCTGCAAATCCCCGCGGAAAACGGGGCGGAAGCGTAACAACCGTGCCACGTATCGTGGCCAGTAGGCGAATTGAAAAGCAGGGTTCTATGGAGAGCAAAACACAGCAGAGTGACAGTAAGCATATCCCTGCATTGTAGAAAAGCGCAATGGAGTCAAATAATGTCGCAGCATGTAGTAGTAAAAGCGAAGAAGGAAGCACTTTCGCAAATCAGCATATACTGGCGTCTAAAGGCTTTTTCGCTTTCATGTACGCGAGCTGGGTTTGAGCCCAGCCTAAGGGGGCGTATCAATTCGGCGACCAGATTAACTCCGTTCTATTGAAAAAAGTTGCCATTGCACCCCAACATTTACTGAATTGTTGCACTGTCTGGTAAACAATGTTACAACAATCCGCATCAAGTGTTTTCGTGACGTTGCTCCTCCTAAATGTTTTACGTCTCGACTGCTGTCTGAGATAAGGCATACAAAACAAGCGAAAAACAGGCGTGCCAGTGCCCATACGCGAGCACTCATCACTATGAATCATTGACAGATCCTTAAATGAAACATCTTGATCTGATTTACCTAAGAAGTTAAGGCAGATTAATTTTGCGACAAATCCAGTGTTGGGATATCAGCTTCGATCCAAACTGGTATTTTGCAGCAGCACGGACATTTAGGGCCAACCTAGGCAGAAATTGAATGTTTCACTACCAGCCAACATGAAGAATGTTTTTCTTCTGGAAGAATTAAATGATTGGAAGGGGATTATTGCAGCCAGGGCATTCTCAAAAACGAGGAGACTTGTATAGCCCCGAATACCTTGACTTCGGAGATTGCAAAGCACGCCAAGCTGATATGTAAAAAAATAGACCAGTCGCTTTTACATCAATATTCACCTCATTCGCGCTAATGTAAGACGCACTCAAGATCGAAGTATGTATGGTTAGAACCAACGACTACGCCCAATCAGATAAGACATGATTGCACTACTGGCCTAGTTTGAACCTAAATGGTTTCCAACTGAATGTTAAAAGTAGCTAGTGATTCAGTAACAGCAATTAAATGACTTTAGTGCACTTAGAAACAACGCTCCCTTGGCCTCGAGACAAGGACTAAACAAGGTTGTAGCTACTATAGAGCACGAAAAAACGCGATGCACAAATCGGAGATGTGGAAATGAACCAGATAAGGCAATCGACAAAATTAAAACAAAAAATGCCACGTTAATGACTCTGGTAAAGTGACAAGGCCACTTTTTAACGTGATCAATAAAACTAGAGGATTGGTTAAAAGCTGTAGCTCTCATTGGCTGACCCAACCGGCTGTCCTGAAATTACCACCCAACGCCCATCGAATAAACGGGTGTGCAGAAACAGGGGTGACTAAGCCCCAAAACCCAGGAAGGTTCACAGACTGGCCTTAGAAGGCAAGCGATTAATCAAGAAAAAATATCTTTTTGATTCTTTAAAAGAAGCTTTGAAGGCACCTCATTCACACACAACAATCACAATAACCAAAAAGAAAAATGTCAAAAAAAAACAAAAGATGAAGTCGAATAAGACTTTATTATTGAGATGTGTAGATTGATGCACGCAATTGATTATTGAGATCGGCGAAGCGCGATAACTCACGAATATAAATGCAAGGGTATTAATAAGCAGTTGTGATCCAATTAGAAACCGAAGGGCACTTTATCGAGTTCCTCGCATCTTGGTTCCAACGCAAGAAGTAAAACTTTGGATTCTGTTTTCGTCCACCAGCTAGAAAATAACAAAGCAATCAGACCCGCGTTAGCAACACCACATTCCCTACATACAGCGTGAATAAAACAGAATATGGTCTTGAACATTTATATCAGAAAAACACAGTCCCTTGTTTACAGTTCCATGGCATCCTAGGTATAGTTTGAAATCTCACACGATCAAACACCAAGAATATTGCCTCATGCGGCAAATTACCAGATCAAATAAAAAAATGAATATTAACTACTAGGAATTTCTCTACCTCAAACTACGGATCACCAAATGCGCCCCTCCCGTAGCGGCTAGAATTTACACGACGCCACGTATGACGCCAACAAGCTAATGTAAATTACTGAAATTAATATTGACCTTACATCAGTTCCGGTTAATGTTTCAATTAAGGTATTAACCCCCGATGAAAATATATAGTTGAAAATACATACACGTCCGCGCGTCCCCCTTGAAAGATACGATCGCATTGCAGAGATAAATTCATCGGCACTTAAATGGCCGTCACCATCTGCATCAAATAAGAGGAATACCGTATTGACGACCGCATCATTCAGTCGCCTACCAGTTACTGCACGGGCAGCGCGTTGAAATTCCTCTACAAAGGAGGTGTATGTTAGTGTCAGTGCAAAACTGCTGACAGATATATGAAAAATGAAATACCCCTTGAAATCGCGCGATTCGATAAAAGGAACATCTTTAGGGCGGAGTACAGGTCTTCGTAGCGAAAAAGAAGATTGAAGAAAACGCAGTAAGACTTAAAATCAATACTGTCTTCATTAAAATTTATACTTTCCGCAACATGCTCTAGTCCTTTTTCTTTGTCTTTTTCTGAAATATCCGCGTAACGCAACATTACTTGAGCTAGTTGCAAAGGAGAAATGGTGTCCTTGCCGGAACTAAGGCGGTAAAATTCGGTACGCAGAACTTCTTCTTGCAGATCATTGATAAACCTGCATTGAACAGAAGACGCATGTTAAGTACTTGTCTTTAAAATCGGCATTACGAAAACTGCATAACTCACTTAAGGAAGTCATTATACAGGAGCCTTCCACCACCATTTTTATGAAAGAAATGCCTCTGAATTGTGGTGGAGCATTTAGGCACGCGCTAAAACCTAGTCGATAAAAAGCGCGCCAAACCTCTTCAGCTAGTTTTCCTTTTTGAAATTTCATATTACATAATGCAATTATCTAGAATTTCAAGATCAACCTAGACGTTACTTGGAGAAACTCTGATTTCTCAATGCTTTCGCTGGAATCCCGATCAAACATTCTAAACAGAACACTCAAATTGTAGCTATTATCTAAGGGTGTCAATAATCGTACAAACATACGCGTTAATATTGAGAGTAAAAACAGGTACTCTGAGCACGAAATCAGTCCATTTCTATCAAGGATGCGAAACAAGGCACTACATCCCGATGAAATGTGAGGTGTTTTAGTAAGAAGCCGCTCTGCCATACAAATGTCCATAACTTGACGTCTTGTCTTGACTATTTGGTTTAAAAAACAGAAGTGCAATATACCTGGCGGTCTAGCACCGGTAACACAATCAACAAAATCACGAGGTGTCATGAAGGCTTCTCCTTCAACTTCTATCGTAGCGAATTTTTCAAACAAGCGTACAAGAACATGCTGGCAATAAGAAAAAATTAAATAAAAAATCTACATCGCTGGTCGATTCATTCTCAGTTATGAAGCCAAACGAATCCTCACTGGTATCGCTATTAGTTGTTAGAGGTTCGAAAAAATGAGCCGATGCCAGAGCAATTGACAATAGTGAGGTATGAATGACAGTAGGACGAGACAGCTTAAGTGCCTTGAAACGACGTAAATGCTTTAGGACGAAGGACGGAAAGTAATAAAAACGACGACTCATTTTGTAATGTGGTGTGGGGTGACGACGTTATAGGGCGCAGACATATTGAAACTCTTGGCCTCAGCTAATCCTGTGTCTCTCTGCGTTCCAATGGCATGCAAGGAAGATAATCAGCCAACAAGTGAAGGCATGGCCAGCGTAGTGGACTCAGGATGAAACGCGCTTAAATTGTGGTTCTGGCTTGTGGTTGGTCAATAAAGCCTGTTTTGTTGTACTGTGGTACGCAGAGTGATGCGTGTACCATTTCCGAATGTACCAATGATCCACTCCTTTTGACATTGGCTTCTGTCAGCATTCGCCTGTCACGCACGCATACTCATACGCACACAAAGCCACTTGGCTGTTTTGACACCAATAAACGGTCTTGTCCACTGCTGCCTCCTGTTCCACTCTTCTCGGGTTGTTACGAGCAGTCAATTAGAGGGTTGTAAGGTAGTGCTGAAACTCTAGCCACTACATTTGGTGACTCCGACAAACGACACCATATTTTTACGACTCCGTTGGCCTGTGATTTCCGTCGAATTATTTTCACGACCCTCTTCCTTTTTCAATAATGTCTGATCCTACTGCTGTGCGCTTTTCTGTAGAAAACAGCATCCTTTTTTAAAATCTTCAACCAGCTCAGACCCGTTGCAGTACCCTTTCCAGAGAACTATTGGCAATTTATCTTACCGTGAAACACTTTCGTTATCAACTAGAAGGACGTGAGTTCATAATTTTTTCCGATCGTAAGCCACATATTTATCCCTTCCATTTAGCCTCTCATCGATATTCCTCACGCAACTCCAGATACCTTGACTATGCTTCACAGTTCAAAACCAATATTCACCACTTTGGTGGAACTGGTAACGTCGTGGCCGCTGCGTTGTCCCGAGCACATATTCATTACCTTCTAGTTCCTAATACTGATCTTAAACAGTTAGCTGCAGCTCAGATGGATGATCCTGAATTAAAACAGCTTCGTCGAAATTCTATTTTAAAGCTAGAAGAGCTGTCACTTCCCCAATGTCCGTCACAAATTACTTGCGATTTATCACTCGGCATGCCTCGCTTCTTTGTTTCTGTCTTATTTATTAAACAAATATTTGAATGTTTTCATTTTCTTTCCCACCCTGGTGTTCGCACTTGATAACTGACCGTTTTGTTTGGCACAGCATTCGTGAAGATGTTCTCCTATAAGCTAAACTCTGCATTCAGTGTCAACGCAGCAAAGTGTGCCGTCATATTTCACAAACTAGACATTTTCCCCTTCCAGACGCTCTTTTCTGTCATGTACATATAGGCTTATTTGGACCTCTTTCGCCGTCTCGTGGTTTTGCCTAGGTCTTAACTTGTGTGGACCGTTTTACTCGTTGGCCTATAATAGTACCTATTAAATATGGTGTCGCCGAAACTGTTGCCCTCGCATTTATGGAATCATGGGTATCCTTATTAGGTGTTCCAAGTTCTTTTTTATCTGATGTTTGTTTCAAGATCTAAATCGCCTTCTTTGATGCATGCATTTTCGAACTACAGAATATAATCCAGCATCTAATGGTTTGGTTGAGTGTTTCCACCATCAATTAAAATTATCCATTGTTACGAAAGTGGGCTTGAATCACTGGCCTGATTAATTACTGTTGATTTTATTGGCTCTTCGAAATACGGCAAAAAAAGATATTGATCCCACACCAGCAGAACTTGCATTCAGTACAATTATGCATTTGCATATATTTCGGTGAAAAGCACTTACCACAAATGTAAGGAGGAAAATTTCAATTTTACCGCATTTTTCTAGGACAAAGCCACATCATCTAGAATAACTTTTACAATCAGCGGCCTGACAAGTTGCTGCTAAGACTTTTAGTGGTGCGAAAATCCACTGATTAATTTACCATTGTTTATCGCCTCTGAGATCCCGACACCACACATCCGCAAAAGCCATTCCAATATTTTAGTGGTTCTATTAAAAAAGGTATCCGAATTACGTTGGAGAATGAGATGCAGTAAATAATACTGATCCTAGTACATCTACTCTGTCGCCTCATAGGACAATCCTTACCATATTTATTGCGTGCCCGTAAGTCATTTCGAAACATCTTATCATACATCCAAGAATAGATAGCCTCACTACTCATGTTGTTTACCTGTTCATTCGATTCTTTTTTAATTTAGCTTGTTCAATCAAAATGTAATAATTCAACCATCATTAATCGTGCATACATTTGCACATGTACAGGGACGTGTCAAAGCATCTAGTTAAGCCTTGTAAGAACCAATTATCTCTCTGTCCCTGGTAATCGTCTCGATCATCCTAAGTACTTATGTAAATCACTCGGTCAAATATAGCACGACGATTCCGTTCTGGCTCAAGATCACATACTGGGCCTGCAACATGTTCTTACTTGCTGGTAGAAACTCTAGAACTTAGTACCTATGTGTTGATAAGGCATTAATGAGATGTCCAAGATAAACAAGACCTATACCTATTTATAAAGTTAAAGATAATTTTGTTGCCTTATATAAAGGTTTAAACATTGACGAGTCAACATCAAAATTACGGGAAATGGTTATTCATGTATAGACATTGCAGCAGGAGAAAAAAGTCATCCACGTCACACCTCATTATATCTTGAATTCAGTAAATCAAAACGCTGATGTTTAAACAGATTGCCAAATATTTTTATACTTTGGCTGGCTACATAATCTATGGGAATTCACGACTTTCAATTGATCATGGAGAGTATGAATCATGTCGGATTCGCAGTCGTCAAATGGTTAAAAGAACATTAATTGTAAAATCAATGTCACTACAGTGTAAACTGTAATTATTTAATTTTTCTGCACAGTTATATCAATTGGAGATTGTATTTACTTGGCACATGATGCAAAAAAGGCAATATTCACAACCCGTGAACGCTGACTCGTGACCATTATGCCACATTATTTGATTTGGTGTGTAATTATATAGCAGGTTAGTTTTGATAATTTCGGTAGTTTGTTCACCTTTTATAAAAGAAATTATGCTTGCGTAGTTTGATTTCAGCGGTGAATTGTATATTTGAAAATGAGCAAGAAACGTCGTAATATAAGGCAAAGGGATCTGAGTGATTCTGACGACGAGGAAAATAACGATCAGTTAGCAGTGTAACAATTGGTTTCATAGCTTACCTTATTAGGCAAGCACAGGAAAAGGCAGACGATGATGATGTTATGAAGGAGTATGAGGAGGAAGAACGAGATAGACAAGACGACATTAAGGAACGAGACGAATTTGTTAAGCGCCTTCTTAATCGTGATGTTGAAGCAACGAAAAAATTTGCTGCCTCGGGCCGCGGTTCTTCCCGGTTAGAAGAGGACCTTAAGCGACTAGAACGTGGAGAGGTGGTATGTTAATGAATATCCCTTTCCTATTTTGATTTTAGAGTAGGGAGGAGCTTATTGAGGAGCTCAAGAAAAGATCCCGATGGGAATATTTAAGGAAGAGGCAAGCAGATAAATTACAAGATTTGGAATCAGAGGTCCGTGATGAAGAAAAATTTTTCACTGAAGAAGAGTATGTTACGGGCTTTCTCACGCTTTCATAGGCTTACTGAGATTGAACGAACCGAACTGTATTACAAACGAACCATTCTTGAGGCTGCTAATGCTCACAAGCTTATCACCGCTGAGCAGAAAGCCCAACATTATTATATTCCCACAGAAAACAAAGTGGTCCCAAATTATTTACTGACTATTATATAGCGTCCCGATGACACTTATTACGAAACTGAGGCCGAAAAAGGACCCCATGGTGAAAGTCGGAAGTGGGAACAGGAACATATTAGTTCAGCACTGTTCAAACTTGGTGCCAAGGATAGTACAGTCAAGGTAGGTTTCGTTCAGTGCTTCATTTTTTTCGTTTTGGTCAGCTTGCTGCACTTTGGAAATTTAATTATTTATAGGAGAAATATGAACTCATTTTGGATGATGAAATAGAATTTATGAAAGCTCTGACGCAGCCTGGCTCAAGTGTTGACCTCGTTCCAGAACTTACTCCCGAGGAACAGCAGCGTAGGCATCTTGAAGAGCAAAGAAAAAGTATCCAGGAGACACGGAAGTCTCTTCCAATTTACGCTTTTCGCGATGCTCTACTGGAGGCGATCGAAAACCATCAGGTTTTGGTCATAGAAGGTGAAACTGGCTCCGGAAAAACCACTCAAATACCTCAGTATCTTTACGAGGCTGTAAGTTTGACAAATCATGTTATGTAAGCTAGTTTAGACTTCTACTGTGTAGAAGCACAAAGTAGTATCCACGGTTTAGATTGTGAACTCGTTCATTGTGGTAAGTGAGGAAACTTAAGTTGATATTTGCAAAATCCTTCTGTGGGAAGCCGCTGAATATTTCAAATAGAAGAATACTGTCCTACTCTACCTCTCAAATAGTTCTTATTTACCTAAGAGTTATCACAAGTTGAGGAACCTGAAGTTACTATTCAATGTCCAGCCTGCGCTGATCACCAAGTTTGCTGAAAAATAAGCAGTCCGTTATCGATAAGTAAATGTACGTATTAAATAAATTTAAGAGTATTCTTTCTGAATTCATCATTATTCAAACAGTTAGGGTTGTAGCAAACCTAGTCGCTTTGTTTAAAGGTTCACTAGGTTGTTAGCTCAGACAGGTAAAGGCCTACGATTCAATACCACAGAGGTCTAGATTTGTTATTGTTGTTCAGTAAGTTCGTAGCTGGGGTTTTTATTAAATACCTTTAGACAGCTTCTAATTATGACGTTTTTCCTAATTTGATATATGTACAAGCTGTTGTAAGTTTTGGCACGTAGCTCGTGGAGCCACGCTATAAACGTCAAGCAAGTTTGGTAGTTGCAGGAATTGTGAAGGCAGCTGATTCCGCATGTCACCTTCATCTATTTGCGGTGCTTTGCCCTAGAGCCTTCTCCTGAAACAATATTTGGACGTCAAGAAGCCGTCATATTCCAAAATACCACAAATGCCCGTCCACCGTAGCGTTCACGAATCCTTCTATACGGCCCGCACTTATCTGCTTTGGTCCTTTTCCTCGACACGAACCCATGCCTCAATTCCCTTTCAGGGCTATTGCCAAGGTGGGAAGCGTATTGGGTGCACCCAGCCACGGAGAGTTGCTGCCATGTCAGTTGCTGCTCGTGTGGCCCAGGAGATGTCCGTGAAGCTTGGCCTCGAGGTTGGGTACTCCATCCGATTCGAGGACTGCACTTCCGATAGGACATTAGTCAAGTATATGACAGACGGTATGCTATTGCGGGAGTTCCTCATGGAACCTGACCTCAGCTCCTACTCCGTGATGATGATTGATGAAGCACACGAACGTACCTTACACACGGACGTGCTTTTTGGGCTAGTGAAAGTGAGACTAACTTCCCTTGCAAGGTTAAATTTTTCTATGATATTGATAAAAAAAGTGAATTTTTTGAGCTAGAAAGTATTTTTTCAAAGTGAAAACCCACTAGACCCTAATTTATATTCAATGTTGGTTTCTATTCGAGAAAATGAGGCCACAAATCATTTTAAAAAATTCAAGTGGTCCAGGAGGGAAAACCTATTTCTGAATTACCGAAACCCTTAAATTGTCAGCCCAAATTTTACTAAGCCCGATACCTTTCGGAAGGCCCCATTGCATTTCCTTAATGCTTCTTAACTTCGATTTCCACCTTTTTGCAGGATGTAGCCAGATTTAGACCGGACCTGAAATTGCTTATCAGTTCAGCAACACTGGATGCACAAAAATTCTCCCAATTCTTCGATGACGCACCTATCTTTCGAATCCCCGGTCGAAGATATCCAGTTGATATCTACTACACCAAGGTGCCTGATTTATCTCATTTTCGTAAACTGCGTCCGGTCAAACGAGTAGTCGTCACTCAACTAGAAGCACTTTCATAATTTGCAGAAGCCAAGTATGACTTGCTTGATGCGTTTACCTGGATCACTTGCGTGAAAATCTTGGGACAAGGATAAATCCAACTTATAGAATTACCCTCTGTAGGCTACTGTTTTGAGTGTAGTGTTTCACCTTATGCATGTCCCTTTGGTGTTCGGGTTTTTTAAACAGTTATCAGCAGAATCCGGCATTATTCGGGCGAAATGGTTCTTTACAAACTTTCGAGATGTGTTCGATTCGAATCTGCACCAAAATGATGAACCTGTTCCCTGTCACGCGAATCACACGGCATCAATAATACCATCAAACCAAACCTGCGGCCCTTTTTTCCTGTAATTAAGTACATGTCCTACACAGACGAGTAAAGGTGAACGTACTTCTGACCGTTGGAGCATTTCCTTTTCTCTAAATAGGCTCCCGAAGCGGACTACATAGAGGCCGCAGTTGTCACTGTACTGCAAATTCATGTTACCCAACCACCGGGCGACATCCTTGCCTTCTTCACTGGTCAGGAGGAAATTGAGACGGCCAACGAGGCCTTATTGGAGCGAACGAAGAAGATGGGCAGCAAACTGCGCGAGCTCATCGTGCTTCCAATCTACTCAACTCTTCCCTCAGATATGCAGGTAAGTCCCTGTAGGCTGCAGGCTGATTGCGCAGCATAAACTCGTTGATTATGGCCCATACATAACTTATTCTGGATTTTGTCAATGCGTTTCTGCAAGCCCCTTTCTTATAATTGGAGTTACTTCCTCAATCAATTGTTCTTCAGATTTTGGTGATCATTTCTTCGTTGCTTGATCTTGGTGTTGCCGATGACCCTGACCATTTGTTGCCTCATTGGCTGATCATACTGACAATCAGCTGGACGGGATTTTCGGTAATGCAGTACTAGGTATACATGCTTTTACTTATAGTATTTCCTGACTAGGCTAGGATCTTTGCACCGACACCTCCTGGCGCGCGGAAAGTTGTCCTGGCGACTAACATCGCGGAGACTTCGCTGACTATTAATGGAATCATCTACGTCATAGACACTGGCTTCTGCAAACAGAAATTCTACAGTGCACGTGCAGGCATCGAATCTCTTCTGGTGGTACCAATATCTCGGGCAGCCGCGGATCAACGGGCTGGGAGGTAAATCTTGTTCTCGTTTACCTTGGCACTGCTTGAATACTTTGTGACTAGGCTCCATAGCGACTAACATGTTTTGTGCCCCCTGTGTGGCCTTCTTTCAAAGCTGTATTTGAGCATTTTTCGATTTATTTTTCGTAGTGCATAATAAATGAAGTAAAACGGATGGCTGGTTCCATGTTTTTGCGATACACAGAATAGGTTCATTGTTTGTACAAATGCAACCTTATGGTTAATAGAGCGGGCCGCGTAGCAGCGGGCAAGTGCTTCCGCCTCTACACCTCTCATGCATACCACACCGAGCTGGAGGCCCAGCCAGTGCCTGAAATCCAACGGACCAATCTGGGCAACGTGGTTCTGCTGCTCAAGTCTCTTGGGATCGACGATCTGCTGCACTTTGATTACATGGACCCACCGCCACACGACGCACTAGTCATGGCCCTCGAACAGCTCTACGCACTGGGTGCCCTCAATCACAAGGGCGAGCTCACCAAGACGGGTCGACGAATGGCCGAGTTCCCCTGCGATCCGATGCTCTCAAAAATGATATTGGCTTCTGAAAAGTGAGTATCTTCTGCGTCAACTAGAACATTGTGCACGAAAATCTGGAACATGCCGAAAATGCGGCGGCCAATTAAGTCGTCGTTGTGTGAATTTCACTGAAAAAACCTTATCTATTTGTTCTCCAGGCACTAAGAAGTTTCCTGCCTAAAGTGTTTGTTTAGAACTGGGTATTCTATTTGACCCTAACTAAGTAATTTGATTTTTCGCCTTTTTCTTGATGAGGTCATTCCAGGCGCGGGAACCGTGATTCTTTGTCCACTGGATTTCCTTGACAATGATAGCCTTAAACGAACATTTTTTCGCCTCTTAAATTTATTTTGGTTAGTCTGCATGAGTCAAACAGAAGCTGGGGTTGGCTTGTAAAGCCTCGTTGGAGCGGTCGACATACAACCTATTCTAGTGGGTAATTCGAGACTGGCCCACATGCACATCTGGGTAAAGCACTAATATTGCAGAATGGTGACTAGTTTTATCTTCTCAGGACATGGAGGCCCATTCTGCAAGTTGGCTGCTTCCAAGCAATGCGTCTTGTAGGGTGCTCAAAGGCCATGAACCAAGTGTGAGAATTTTAACCGAATACTTGGACAAGATTGCAGTTTTACTAATAACCTTCATTTGCCTTCAAGATACAAGTGTTCAGACGAGGCAATTACGATAGCAGCAATGCTATCAGTTAACAATGCTGTCTTCTATCGACCCAAAGATAAAGTAGTGCACGCAGATGCAGCGCGGAAGGCCTTCCACCACATAACTGGCGACCACCTCACCCTCATGAACATTTACAATCAATGGGCGAACGCAGGTAGGCTATTAAAATCCACATTTCCATTAATTTATCCAGTAAATTGGCATTTTAAAATTTTTAAATGTAATTCTCTCGCAATTTCGCTGTCTGTTGTAAAATGAGGCGCAACTCCGATCCCGGCTAGCCACCGGGCGTGGCTGGTTACCCTGCTTATTTTCAATCGATTTGCAGAATGTCAGTTCATTTCTGATTCCTGAATTAATGCAGAACCATACTACTTAAAACTACCACCATATCGACGCGGAATTCTATCAAACCAGCAAACGTTTTGCACAATTTTCGAAAATACGGACATATATATATTAATGCCGAGGTGCGATTTTCCGTGATAATCGTAATAAGAAAGTTTCACAGTGTTTTTAAACATGTCCTTTTGGCATTGCTTTCAAGATTTCTCCGCGCAGTGGTGCTACGAGCACTTCATTCAGCATCGGACAATGAAGCGGGCGAGGGACATTCGTGACCAGTTTGTAGGTTTGCTGGAACGAGTCGAAATTCAACCAATGAGCAATCCCGGTGACCACATCAACATTAGAAAAGTAAGCGTACTGCCTTATTTACCATGCTTTTCTAATCATGGCTGATATCAGGCAAAACACTTCAAAATCACACACGGTTTCATTCGCACTACTTTAAAATAAATTGGAGGAAACGTTCGCGGTCTACGTGTCTCGTCGTATGTTCTGGTCCTTGTGTTAAAGCAGTTTCCCATTAATGAATTTGAATGTCGTCTTGTAGGAAACATTTTTGGCAAATATTTCGTCTGAATTCGCTGGATATTGTGTACCGAAAAACTAATTTAATGTCGTAAATCGACAACAAATAATATTTGCGATATTACCCTAGTGTCCTCCTCATTATATTGACTTGTTAAGGCTCTGACAGCGGGCTTCTTCTATCACACGGCGCGATTCACTGGCAACGGCTACAAGACGGTGAAGCACCAGCACACAATCCATCCGCACCCGAACTGCGCGCTGGCCGAGCAACAGCCTCGGTGGGTCATCTACCACGAGCTCGTCTTCACCACGAAGGAGTTCATGCGTCAGGTAACTGAGATCGAACCTCGCTGGCTCACCGAGGTAGCCCCGCACTACTACAAGTCCAAAGAAATCGAGGAGACTACCAGAAAAATGCCCAAGACAAAGGGGGTCGCCAAGGCTGATTTAGACGGCCGAGATGGCTGAGAAGTGTAATAAAGAATTGTACAGAGACATTTAAAGCAATCGCAACTATTTTGTAATTAAAGCGTTTCACGTATTCGCAAAAAACTTGCAAACCACCCTGCTCCCAGAGAAAATTTAGTGCATGTAAACTCTGATGGCTGTGTCCACGTCAAGAAATCAAATAGGTTATTATCTGCTACACCCCAAAGTTTTCCGATTTGCGGTTCATCACGCCCCAAAATAACTCGGCCAATCTTCAGTGATTCGCCTTAAGCTTGTGACGGAGGCTTTCTCTTAGAAATTGGCTTGTAAATCATGCAACAGCAACTCAAATGTCTTGTCGTAGAATTAGTCAAGGCATATTGTTTGAGTAGGAATCCGCGCTGTCACAGGGGTATACTTCTCGTTACTTCTTCGTAGGTAATCACGAATCAACCATATCGGACGACGTGGAAATATTGCTACACCCAAATTTGATTATACCCCATGCCAAACCAAAGAGTGACGCAACGCATGTTACACAGTAGCATCTGATAATGCCTTTTCGGTTTACAGGCCAGAAAAATGGGTAATTTGTAGGTTTTTGTGGAGAGGGGTTATTTGCTACCCCACCATTTGGCTTTAACTATTTCAAGAGGATGCAGGTCGGGTAATAGGCAGGCTGTTTACTCCAAAAGCGGGGGTACCTTTTTTCTGGAATCTGATGTACTATGAAATTACTGTCCGATAAAAATGCCAGCGAAGTTTGTTCTTTAGAGTACAAGGAAGCACCAGATCTTCCGTATGGAGTAACTGCTATATTCTGGTGTAACATTCTTTTTGCTATGCTTCCTAGATATTTTGTACATTCAGCACATTTAAGCACTCACCCACGACTGTTAATACAATCCAATTGCGCCTAGGTGTGTTATTAAGCCCTCGCATTAGCGTTAAGTCGCAAAATAGCATAAATGTTGTGTAAGCCAATTAGGTTCAACTTCCAGAGCGTACATGTGGCCAATATCGACAGGCATTCCGGGAAATTGTCCATACTTGAGGAGTTCAACCGTTGGGCTAATGTTTTGTCTGAAATAGTAATAAGTGCAGGTGAGCGTGCATGTTCCGCTTGACCGCCAACCAAAGAGAACACGACCTGAGAACGAATACGAGAACTGCATACTAGCACAAACCACAGAGACAGCATCAAGACACTATTGATGCAGCCCTTCGCTGTATCAACGGAGGGCCGGGTGACACGTGCAGTGTGCCTTGGACGACCTTGACAGTGTATATAAACAGACGGCACACGTATCGCGACTTGCATCACCCCAAATCAAGAAATCTCCAAGTTTTTTTGAATGTATTCATATCTACGACTTGAACCCTCCGCAATTTCGACTTGGTCTGAACTAAAGTAGTGGACCGATTGCTACGATGTGTCTTTGATATCAGCCAATTTTCGTGCCATTTACGTGAGATGAGGTATTTGGAAATAGTTGTCTATAACTAAGAACTACACGGAAACAACTTCAAAAACTACCATTAAGCGAAGAGGCAGCTTGGGTGTAACCATCGTAAACGCTTTCTTAAATTTACAATTGTGGAACAAGCAGAACGACTGACTGGAATAAACAGCTGTAGGATTGTACTGGTAGAATAAGTCCACTGACCTTGTGTGATATTTCACTGCTTTATCGAGAGCCATGATGCGGTAAATCATGTCCAAAAATACGATAGTTGATATGCGGCGGGAACGAAAAGGTACTTTATGTCCGAATTCGGACTCATCATCGAAATATTTCGACTTAGTTTTTTTTACTTAGTAGACGTTTTCCGGTTGGTATTCCTTATATTCAAACGGAAAACATAATGGCAGATCGATCAGCGTATTAACCAAAGAAAAGGCATATACTTCATACCGGACACAAAAAATGTTGACAAGCCTATGAAATCTCAACGGTGCTTTCCGAAAATGAAATGCTGGTGACGCGTTTCACCTACTACTGGTTGACCTACTGGACATCAACCATTTGTACCAGGCGGAAAGCTCGAACGTGCTAATACTATTAAAGGACAGCTATTGAGCTGCTTTGCGGGATAGCTTCAGAGTACTTTTAAGTTAATTTTTCATGCTACTTAAAACGAAGATTCCCCTCAAACTGTTTGATGATTTCGATAACATTCATGTTTTTCCTATTTTGCTGCAAAAACTCGTAGGTTATGCTACAAACTTTGATGTTTTTGGGCTTAAACACCTATGCTATGTTCCCGTTGAAAAGTTGTAGCATTATGGATATTTACGCGTCTAACCAAAATACGGAGGTAGTCCGGCCTTTGCGATTGCAAATACCTGTCAAGAAATTTAAGATGTCCCAGGCATGCTATGGTTACTAAGGCCTGAGGACATTTAAACACATAGCTTCTTCAGTACGGGTGCAATTTCTAAAAAAATTTGTCGGCGTTAACTACATACTTACTGTAAGAAACTCCCGTTAAATCTGATATTTAACAGAATCAACGACTTGTCAAAATAAGTAACAAGCACAAATGGAATGTTCCAGGGCAACGCAGGATTCAATAATGGTGATTTAGCATTGGACTCAATTCATGTAAATAAAGGAAATTCATTTTGCTTCGAACATATATTTTGCACGCTTGTGATATGGTCTTGACAGGTTAATAAAGTACGTGCGCGCGGCAGGGTTGCCAATGCCGGCTAATGCCGATAAGAAAAAAATCCCAACGAAGGGTATTTTAATAATGGAAAATGTGCGCAATGTACAGTAATAGGGTGCGAGACTTTCCAGCCTTCTTCACCTTTCGAACCCTCAAAGTGATTCCGGAGGTCGCTTCGAGTACTTAAAATCAGAAGTGATTACCTCACCAACAAGTTACCTTTGCCAGAAGCCAATCCATGTCAGATATTGCCGTGGAGATCATAATCTTGATATTCTCTGGATCGTCCTCATCGGCATGCTGTTTAAAATTCTATGCAAGGGGGGCAAAATGTAAGAAACACACGCGGAAACAAACCTGCCGGATATAGTTTCTGTAATAGGGCTGGGCTTCCTTCGGAAGCAGACGTGTTTTACGGAGAAGGTAGATGTACAGACGAAGTGGAGTTTTGGGGAGTTGTGGGAACATTATAAACCGCTATAACTGGAAGGGAGAGACCGTCTAACTTTGTGTAGCACAGCAGAGCTTTCGACAAAAAAATTACTACCTGATATCCAAGTGACTCACAAAGTATAAGCATAGGAAAAAACGATAAGAGACCACAAGTGCAAGTGTAATAAGTTGCAACACTTTATCAGCAAAAAATGAATTATAGGTGAGGGAACGCAGGAGACTGTCGAGTTTACGTAGTCTCAAGCCATGATGTGGATTCTCACTAACTTCAACTGCCCTTAAGGCCCAAGGTCAACAAGTGTAAGGTCAAAGAAATGTTACTATGAGCAACAAAGTTACAATTACAAGACAGGGACAGGTTATGTACAAGGCATAGTAAAATGAATACGCTAGAAAGCACCTGAAGCAGCTCAGTAGAGGTGTCGCTGCTGAATGTAGAAAAAGAGAGGTTGAGGGCAAGAAACCCCACTTTAGAGTAAAACTTCAAGATGCTAACTGTTGTACTAGATTTTACGACAATACGAAATGGCGATTGAAGTCAACTTATATGAGCTAACTACAAAACGGGTGCAACAGACGATAGCCAATAAAGAGTACGATTGCTTATAAAAATATTTGTATTTTGGTGTATTATTTACAATACGGAAAGGTCCACAATTTCACTTCATTTCTCATTGGCAACCGATGTAGACGTCCAGCCAGGGGCAATTTGCCCTCGTAGAGGTTCGTCACAGCAACTGATTCTGTTTCGCTCAGCCGACAGGTCGTCTCGTCCTCGGAGTCGGAGGAGTTACTTCCGGAAGCGGCCGCCTCCTCCTCCGCTGCCGCCGCGGACGCCTCTTTGCCGCACTGCTCGCACAGGCGGCGCTTGGCCGGCCCGGGGCGATGCTGGCGCGGCAGGGAGGGCGGGAGGCGTTTTTGACCCGAGGCGGTCGCCAAAATAGGCATGAAAGGGTGAATAGAGACTCCGTGGCAGCTATCCTCGTGGGCCAGCCACACAGCCGCGGGGAGCAGCCCTGGCAAACGTCTCCCTTCACTATCAACGGTTGCGATGGTGGGCGAAGTGAGGTCGAAGCAAGAGACCGCACCTGTTTGATTGCCGGTAAAAAGATAGCGACCCGAACTAAACGCAGAGAAACAACAAGTAATAGATGCATACGTTTTTTTGGGGCTTGCGAAAACCAGGTGAAGTAAGTACGCGAGCCTTGCACTGCGAGACCAACGAGTGAAGTATGTGTGAGAAAATCCGAGTTCTCGATAAATCCAAGCAATTATTAAATACAGTCATATCTAAATACAGTAAAAACCATTTGACAACTAAAGGGAGTATAACCCATTCTTAGGAACACAAGCATATTTTGGCAGAAATTTTATTAAGAAAGCGGGTGAACAGAATTCCCGCCTTTAGGAAAAACCAGTTTCCAAGCAAATACATATTGAAATTGCAAACATTGACCAGAAAAAAGATAAACCACCAGCGATAAACAGCGGCATTTAAGAAAATGAACAAAACATCTACGTGATAAAATTAAAATCAAAGCACAGCTACACAATTTCCAGAATGCAAATGTTTTCACCCCATTGAAAATGTGCAGCAAAGGCAATGGATGCTAGGAGTAAAGCGTCTTCTGTTAGAGGGCAAACCCTTAATTCGGAAATAGTGGCTGGGTTGAAGCCAAACTCCAAACTTATACAGCTATTGCAACATGCAAATGCAACCAGCAAGTCAAAGCGCTTGTGCAAAACCAACACGTACGTCTCCGGCACAAAAGACAAACTTACAAGTCAACATCGAACTGGAAACGCTGATAGTTCTCTACCCGGCGAGGTATGACGGCAAGCGGCTCCCTGTCACGCATCCAGCGGGCGTCCCAAACAAATATCTGAAAACGAATCGAGGTCAACATGGAGAAATGTGCTTCGACTTGGATGGGTGGCCTCAAGACGTGCACAAGAAAGCAGAGTTCCACCTTCAAAACAACCACGCAGTGGGCACTCGAATAAAGGTGCCTACGTAGCGTCTACGTAGAGTGGGGTCTCAACAATGAATAAGTAGATCTAGCCGAGTACAGGCCTGCAGGCTGGTATTTCTGCTCGACAAGCTGAAGACCATGGGTGGTATCTATTTGAGAATGCAGAGCGGTCGGCTGGCAGCACTAAAGGGCGGAAACTCCCCTACCTGACCATCAGCTCTGCCGCCGGCGATGAGAAGCCAAGGGGTCGCTCCATTGGCAGGGCAAACAAACTTCACTTGACTGATGCCCAAACGCGGACCTTGGAGCAGCGGTCCAACTCGCTGACCCCCCATAGACTCAGAGTACACTCCCACAGAACCACTGAAGGAGCCCGCTGCGTAAATGCCCTGAGACAAGTCGCCGCCGTGGAGAGAGGCGAGAGCTGAGATGATGCCGCCCTGGTCGGCCCTTTCTAAACAGTTAACCAAAGGAACCTAGACACTGCACAAATGGGATGCACACGGATTTCACAGGTTATTAAACCTGGATAACACGAAAGTAATAAAACAGGTCAACTGTAAGTATCCTAAATTCATGGTCTTAATATCCAATGCTAAATGTTAATGATAAGGAACAAACATCTTTGCTTATAAACACACACGTAGATTAATTACAATAAGTCATCAAGCCTCAAATAAAAGCATACTTGAAGTCGAAAGGCCTATGATTTCAAGCATCAAACTATAGGTATTCTTGACTATAAATAAAATATCTGAAGGAAATTAGAATATTGGCCTACAACGGACAATAAATTAATAAAAAGGGTATGTGTGTCAAGGAGGGGAGGAGAATTCCTGCCTAATTTTAAGCGTCATTGAGTTGTAATAGGCAACTATAAAACAAGCTAAAAACTCAGAGAACTAACTCCCTAATCGCGGTCGACGCTCCGAGTGACAACCTGGCTTTTCCACATTGAATACTTGTATATAACGATTAAATCCACAATAAAGACGAGTACCGTCTCCGGAGAAGGCGATACTTTGGGCTGATGTTAATTCTCCCTAAGAAGAAAGTGAACATACACTTTTGCAGTGGTCCAATTTTACTGGATACAGATGCATTAGTAATAAACGAATAAATTGTCAATCGAGTCGTAACTGAAGGATTACCACATGATTAAACGGTCGATAAGTAGCACGCAGGGTTCCATTAAAGGCATCCCACAAATGAATTGGAGTTCGCCGACTAGTGCTTGCGAAACTGAAATGTTTAAACGTAAATGTACTGAAGGCGGAGGGAAAGATTGTGTGCAAACGGAAGTCCACTAACCAGCAAGTTACAGGGTCGTCGGAAGACATGCTTGGAAACCAGCAGTAGTCGTACACAAGTTCTTGCTCACGCATCCATAATACAGCTGGCTTTAAGATTAAAAAAAAAACAATTAGGTTTATTTTGACGAAAAAAAGCCATTAAAAATGTTGGAAAACTCACCAGTTCATCAGACAACGGCTCCGAATCAAAATCAAATTTATCGCCTTCAGGAGAAAAGGCAGGGGAAAATTCAAATATTCTAAATATATTATCGCAGCTATTCGTAAGAAGGCAGGTGCCATCTGGAGACCTACATAAGTAGAGAAACAGCGTCCATCTTTAAGAGACAAAAAGACCTGAATCCAGAACCGTAGATCAAAGTAGAGACGTACCAAACACAACCACGGAGGTAATTGTTCCGAAGAGCAATTTTACTTGAAAATCGACAAAACTCTTTCTCGATTGTAACGTAAACATTTGGTGCAGGACATGGCCAGTTGATAGGAAGGTCTACAATGTATGTTCAAGTGGATTACTCAAGATAGGAGTGCCACATTATCTATCCTTATCAAATTTAGACCTTAGAAGCATCGGCAGAACTGGGAGGTGAATAAGGGTGTGAAGAAATCTACACAGGTTTTACAGTAAGGTGTGACACATGGTTGTCTAATAAATCGCACCAGGTGAACTGTCAAGGGTTAATGTTACACATCGAGGCAGTTAAAACCGCCCTATTTAACACACATATTTCATTTACATACAATCATAATTATAATGCACGACTAAAGGCATCACGTAGGTTCCAGACAGCCACATAGAAAGAAAAGCACACGGATTTTTATAACCATTAAGGACTTTTTAACTATTCTAAATAACCATACTAAATTTTTAAAAAGACAATAAACGTACCTTCATGGACGGTTTCCGAGGGTTCGGATGCAATGTTGCACTTATGATGCAATTGTTCGGTAGATGCTTGAGGTGATACACTATCGCCACTAGGCAAATTTGAACTGGAAGATGTCCCCGTATGTTCAAGGGCATCATTTTTGGCGTCGACATTGAATGAATTTTCCGCGGCAGCAGATAAGTCCTCAATAACTAATTAAAAAAGATAATTCCGCACAAAAGTTACAAACAGTTTTCTTGCAATATGGGAACTTCAGGACTCATATTCGATGACGCAGGTGGTAGAGGCGCCCGTAGCGAGGAGGAAAGATCATCGACAGCAAATGTTGACTGGTCATCTGATTGCTTCTCAGACATGAATCTTTACAAAATTAAAAAGAACCTCGCTTGCCTATTAGATCCACAAGTGGCAAATCACGTAGAAAAACGTAACCAGGGAAAGTAAGGATTTAATAAAACAGTTGTGTACAATTAATCGAGTTTTAAGGAAAATGACGAACCGCAGGAGCAACCCCCTTCTGCTTGGGGATTCCTAGTAACTTTAAAACCAGACCGAATAAGTTCCTCTTCGTATCCGATTTCGCAGTTTTCCAAAAATTTCATCGAATGAGGATCAACAACAATTTTGACACCGGATTGTTGTAAAACCCTACAAATGAAGTCATTGATTATGGAACTTACAAATCCTCATCACTGATATTTTTGTCAACTTCAAACTTGTATTGGAATCCAGAGCAGCCTCCACTATCTACCACAATTCGCAAAAGACCGTGCTCACATCCGATTTCGGTAAGTTTCTACCAATGGATTTGACTAATTGTACATATATACAACAAACCTTCACGCATGATGGCGATAGCGTAATCCTATTTGTTGAGGTTGAAAAAAGGATGCGCTTTGTAGCCGCGCATGACTTAATTGACCTAAAACATCGGCAGAGCATGTGAACACAAACAGGAGACAAAAATTATTTTGGTGGGAAACACCAAGATAGATGACGCGGCATAATTGGTCTATACTTAAACAAACTCATTATTTTGCTTTAAAAATAATATATTGTTCAATATTTCAATTTAAGCATGTAGACATCTGTTTTTAATTTTCTAGTAGAAAAAATTTACTGCAAAAAGTAAAAATCATTAAAAATTTTTAGAAAGTGTTAATTTTAGTGTGGATATTTCAAAGCAAATCCTTTAAATATTTTTAAGTATGACTTTTTCATATAATTTTCACGAGTGATTAAACATGATGATTTAAGTTTTGTTTGATAGAGATTAGTCATTGACCTTGGCCGCTGTATTTCTTCATTGTAATTATTTAATGACACTTTATTTCCAATAATAATCTGAAATATTATTGAAATTTTTAAACAGGACGTCAATTTACCCCTAAATGTAAGTGGACCCTAGGCAGTCATCAAGAAATCTCAGCCTCACTTTGTTTGACTACTGAACTGCCCATACTCCTTGTAAGACTTTTGTACATAAAGTGGGAATATCGATATAGGTGAATTTAGATTTTATTGATGCCGAGGTTGTGAATGTTATCAAGTTTACACTTCGACATGGAAGAAGACCTGCGGTATTCTGAATAGCAGGTGCATCAGGATTACAAGGACGTGTACACTCTCTGCAATTGTATGCCACTTATCTTGTTTTGTAAAAAGAACATTCGGCCAGTGAATATTTGATCAGAAAAGGCTCAACAAAGGGAACAGAAGCTGCAACCGTCAGGAAGATATGAATTGCGAAATTAAACCTAAGTGCAAGTGGAATGTTGATGTTTACCAGGAAATCCAGTTGCCAGAATAATATTCTGCTCAAGATTTGATGAAACACCAAGGAGGCCTGACAGGAGACATTAATTTAGCAATCAACATAAGTACTTAGTCCCTTACCAAGACGATATTCATGTACTGAAATCGACAACCACAGTGACAGAACTGATCCAAAACAGAAACTCAATGTGATGATGAATATGATCTTTAGTCGCGAACAAAAAAGTCAATTAAGAAGAGATCATCGTTATTTACACGTTGAATGTCGAAAATGGTTAATCACCTTACATCATTGCTTGACAAGTACGTAGTGAACTTGCGGGGTTCTATAAGGTATGCAACCGTAAAAAAAGAACATCTAGTGTTCTTGCACACGTTCGCTTGAGGCTACACCGTCAGTATCGAGGGACGACAAAAATTCATTGGTAGATCCTGCTGCGGCGATTTGAGTCCGACTTAATGGCACGAGGGGCGCTGCACTGTATAAAGGGACTTGTCTAAAATAAGAAAACAAAATCACAATAAAAATTTGTAAAATAACTGTGACTGATGTGTTACTGCTGCTTTCCAAAGCCATTTCGTCGCTAAGGAAGGTGCATGCTCAGCACTAAGTACCGTTCCATTTAGACTAAAACAACAAATGAAGGCACCAAAGTAAGAGATAGAGGCATGACCAGCAGCATTTGATTGGAGTTCCCTTTGAGTAAAATGAAAGGGAAGGATAAACAGGGGAGACAAGATGTGAAATGACAATAGGAGAAGTTTTAAGAGAATCTATGCTTAGGCTCGACCAATAATAGCACAAATTGACACCACACATGTTAAAATCCACACATGCTTTCTAGCATGGACCAAAAGTGATACGTGACATCTTCATCTTGATCGTCTACATTTTATTCGCGTTTAGAGGTAAAATTTGTGAAAAACCCCAGTGCCTTAATACAAAAGCGAAAAATTTGCGTGTAATAAGGTACCATAAAGGGGAAATTTCCCAACTTATTGTCTTACCAACTCTTTCTTGCATATATAAGGGCAAGTATGCTACGGCGCATTCAGCGTTAAGCACAAAGAACTGCTGTAAACAAAACGCGGGGGACAAGTCACTAGTTCCATAGAATGAGACTTCAACCATCACCAGAGCACGTGAAGATGTTTTCCCTCGTAATGCTGAGAAATCAGTCATTTGAAATCAGCCTTCTTGGGAATTGTATCTATTTGCTTTGACAAAAGAGCCGTCGACAACTGTTGTGCGGTTAATTTATCAATGTCATTAATATGGATTTAAAGCAATGGTGACTTGAAAACCGGGAGAAACAGTTGTGTGTGAATTCAGGCCCACGAAGTATATCACTGTTTAGACTAAAGTGGATTTGTTTAGGACGGGAACCCACCTAAAGTTGACACGTATCACGTGACCACATTTACAATAACACCCACCGAAGCAACAAATTCTACGCCGTAAAATCTCGAACGAGCGTTAACCAGTTAGAGGCTATTTCAAAGACAAGTAGTTAGAACCTAGATCGACGAGTTTTAACAAACTACCGCTTCTGTAGTAGTAAAGATTGTAAGAATCTGACAATTACCTGTCTTGAAATGCGCGGCGCTCACCAGGGGCAATTGAAACCAGCGGTTGCTCAGTGAAGGGCTGCGGTGGCCATGCCGTAGAAGCAAAGTTTTGCTGCTCCTCCATTGGTGTTGGAAAAGTCGAATTCGCAAAAACCGGGACCTCAGTCGATGAAGCAGTCACAACTGAACTCGTTGGTTCACCGCGATTCCGGTAAAATGCGAACCTTAAACGCTGACGGCGAAGCCAGGAGATATTTGAAGTTGGAACTGTGGGTGGTGGGACGGGGTTCTGACCTCTAGATGCGTTGTGGTCCCACGAATCAGTTAAACGGAGAGTACACATGGTTATGAATCCCACGATGACACTTCCGCACAACCAGGCGGCCAGAAATATAGAGTCTGTGGGCAGTATAACAAATAATATGCCTAAATAACCAACCTACAGGTATCCATCCAAAGGATGGAGTTAGATTCCTTAACGCAACATTGGAATTAAATAAAAACGGGTTGTTAAATCGGTTAACTGGCCAGACTACGGCGAATTACCACGTATAGCAACAAATACATGATTTTACGGTCTTCTATTCTAGATACGAAAGAGAACACAATTTACGTTTGCGTCCACTCCTTGTTCGAGGATAAACCAGAGTTCACGCTTATCCAAGATTAACGTGTCGTTGTTTCCAAGAAAAACACTGGTGACCTTGAAAAGTATCCACAATATACGAGACTCGCCTTCTGTAACACTTGCAATGGCAAAACGACCCTGTTAGCCAACAATGTCCTCGTACATGGGAAGGTACAAACGCAAATTTGACACTTCAAACGCCCTAAGGAAGCAGCAAATTGCTGGGTGCATATCTACAATCGTCATCCTCGCCTTTTGAGTATTAAAGAGTAGATTAAGCACCTTGTCGAAATAAATTACACAAGAAGGCCATGGGGTTTGGAGATTATAAACAGGCGTGAAAAAGCTTGGAACAATAAAAAACGTGCAAACTAACCATTGATGCCATAGACCGAGATGTCATTTGCCTTGAGACGTTCATTAGGCCAAGTGAAAATCAGAAATTGATCCAAAAGGACGTAGGGCAGTAGGGAATTAGGATAAAACAACATTGCGATGCACGAAAGGGAGATATAGAGTCCAGTAATTGCGACTGATAAGCCAAAAGCCTGCAGGAAAGAATGATGGATGATAATAATAATAATGATAATAGGTAAACAAGAATAGACAATTTCGCCACTATGTTAGTTTTCCTATTACTTACAGAAACGCTTATTCTTGTAGTAAGAATCTATATCTGATAAAGGAAACTACTATGAGACCTCAAAATGGAAGTTTCCAACCACATCTACATCTACTTTTTTGCGTGGTTCGCAGTGAGTATTAGATAGAATATCCAAAATATTCTAAGACAATCAAAGCGGGAAATCTCGTACCATGTTTTTAAAAACGAACATCAGGGCAAAAGCAACCCCGTAAATGAATGAAAAGAAACACAGATACGCAGTGGGAGTCCTGAATGTGTCGAAGCGACCTAAAGAAAAGAACAGGGAGGGACTAGAAGCCTGAACACAGAAAAATGGCTACAAAAAAATTTTGCACTAAAGCAGCATTATAAAACATACTGACGAGAGGACCCATGATCAGGCAGCTGATGAGAAAAACGGCAGGGATGGCAGGAACAAGCCTAAGCAACCTGCGTAATTTATACTGATTTGGTCGCCTTCCACAACCTCCAAAACCTGTGGATACGTTGACAGCTACGTTTCCATTGGCAGATACATTGCTGACAGGGGCAGTGGAGTCGCTTGGGTCAGGATGAAGTAGTGGGGAGGATAGAAGGTTCTCAGATGACCGCAAGTGGCGACGGGGTTTCCAACCCCTAGACCCTCTTCCATAAAACGGATCTGTCACGTCGTCACCACTAATCGCCCCGTAGTTATAATAGTAAGTTGATGGCGTCTCACTAACTGGATAGAACACGCCTAATGAAACCGGGATAGGTGATCGTGCATTGGAATGTCGAGTACACAAGATCCAAACAAAGAATGTTATGAGAATACTAAGAGCGACTGGTACCAAGATGCCAGCTACAGTCAAGTAGAAAACTAAAAGTAGAAAAAAGAACGTGCAGGCCAACGTGTTAACGGAATTCAAGACCAAGCAAACGCCACTCACTGTTGGTTGGTAAAGGGGCATAACGGTAGAAACACACGAGACATGTGAGCGAAAACACCATCATCAAAGCAGCACTGCAACCTACATAGATTACTAGAAATTGCTTTTAATTGCGAAACGTACGCAGCCACACGCAAAAGCTCCCAGATAAGGTGAAGAATAATGCCGCCACTAAGATAACACCAACGCAAAGACGGGTGGCCAAAGAAAATTCTGGGAGGAGTTCACACCCCAGCTGATTCGAAGAAAAGTTAATATCCTGTGATGGTGTCCTATCAGTGGGTGGACAGGTGTACAAAACTGTTGGAGCATAGGCCACAAACGTCGAACTAGCCACAGAAGAAACAGGCATCACCTTGTATTCCGCAATCACATTGACTACGGATGCTGTTCCTAGATGGCGCGTGAACCGGATTTCGTGACTATTGTCTTCAAAAAGTTGCAAGTGTCTAGAAAAAGCAATAGCACACAAGCAGTAAATAAATTGCAGAGGCATACAGATCATTTAGAATAAAATCGATAGTTCACAAGGTACCTGGCATAAACGCTAGTGACAAGAGTTCCACGAAATAACGCATCGACTGGGGATGACACGTGACTTAGTATTTTCAAGACTTCCGATGTAGAGGGGTTAACAAAACTGTCTGAAGAACCACCACTGGTTACTAACGGAACCTGATAAATATGATAAATGATTCTGTCGAGGAAGGAAGAATTTGTGCTAAGTTCCGAGTTGCATTTATCCACAGTACTCCTGAATTCTGACACAGAGTAAAACCTAATAGTTGATGTCCATTGATTTAGGTGGGCAGACGAGTTTAAAATGACACCATCTGATGATGACGGATAAATGTTGTCACCTTCCCAGTGGGAAGAAATCGTAGACGACGCAAAGGAATCAGATGAACCTTTCCCGCAACCACCAGGTATCGCGACTAAAGTCATAAGATAAACAATATCAAAATACATTCTGAGCCATAGAAAAATGCCCTTGTAGCTGCTCTAATAGGATGAGCATGATAAGAACAAACGAATAGTTCCTGTGTGGTGTTTACAATCCTCTGGCGGTCAACAAGGCCAAGATTATATCCATATTGAGACGAATAGGTTGGACAACCAGAAACCAAGGAAGCCCATATCTTTGTGAACGGGCTGTGTATAGAATAGCTCAGAAATCCTGAGGAGTCAGATGAAATGCCAAAGTTGAAAACATTTAATCCTGGATTGATAACAATCTCATTCCAGATCCCCAACGGCAAGCTACCTTTCGATTGGAAACTTCCTGTAGTTTGTTATTAAAATAAACCACAAACTACTTGTTGTGGAAATGCAAAAAAGGAGAAGCAGAACAGCCCCAATGTTCATAATTTCAAATCATTCCTCAGGTTAATGCAGAACAAATGCACCAATCAAAATATCGCAACGGTTTTAAGCTAATGATGCTAATGATTCAAATGAATAAGTTAATATTTCAATAGAAATAATGGAACTCTTGGTTACTGTATTCAAAGCTATTAATTAGCATTGTGCATCGCTGAAAAAAATTAATATTTTGCACCACGACTGTTTGCAGCCGTCAGGCAATAAGTTCATCGGTTCATTAGATAAGCAATACGTTGATAAGCATACGCTGATAATCATTATATATATCATGCACCTGTAGTTGTTTTATTGCCAGTGATTTTGTATTCAATATAAACCTATCATCAAATAACAGCGTCTACTCTAGTGGAGTCAGTTCAGGTCACGAATCTTACTGCATCTTTATGCCTTTTAGTTCTATACCACTAATAGGTGTTCGGTACTGTTTTATTTGTTTAGGAATTTCCCGGTCAAACCTCCAGTCTAGTTTTATCATGCTACACTCAGATTTCAGATCGTGCATTGAGAGATGTGTATGTAAGGTTTCAATCACATATGATTGCCTCCGTATTGCCCTTAAAGTATTGCTTTTTGGAAGCGCTTCGATATCGGAAGATCATATATCCTATCTAGTATAGTTTGATGAATTCTCAATGAAAAAAAATAAATATAACCTTGGATACCATTTTATATCTTACAATATGAACAACTGTGTTAGAAAATATAACTTTGGATTTTTGTAATGGAAAAGATCAAGAAACCTATGTGCAGGTTTACGCCGTGTATTTATGGACGTTTCAACTAGAAACATAAATGGAAGTTTGCCTCAGAGGGTTATCTGCCAAATTAGAGAGTTAAGTGCTTTTTACTCATACTCATGTTTATAGATATGTTTAGGAATTAGCCTAAGATGACGCAAGGAACTTCCCCATAGTTAATAAAATATTTTGGGCTTTAAAGTTATCCGAAGTTAATTTTACAATTTATTTTAAAATGTTTAAAAATATTAAATCGCTATTTTGCACTTTTATTGAAATACACAAAGGCGAAAAATCAAGTTAAAAGAGTACTTTTTGGTTGAATGAGCATCCTTAAAACGATGCTCATTATGTCGTTAACCCTTCTAGATTTTGTACTTGTGTGAAGCCTGCAGCAAAAAGTTGCCTATGAAGCAGCGATTTCGTGCATCATCTGTTGCAAATTGGCAAAAGAGAGATAAGTTGAAATAGTAGAAATTTAAACCATGCTAATTATAATTTTAAATGCTCTAAAATAACCATAGCGGACTCTGTTATTTGCACAGAAAACGAACTACTACAGTTCCTAAAATGATATTTCTTCCATTCATCATGTACATTAAACGAAATTTCAATTTTGCCAAATAACATCTTGATCACACCAATATTTGGCATTTATAGTCAATGTCGACTCTAGTTACCAAACACAGCTCTGTTTATATGCTGCAATGTATCTAATGATCGAGTATGTTAGTCTGTCTTTCAGGGGTAGCAACACCATTTTAATTTATTACAAAAGTGCGACCAAAGAAAAATGGTAGGAAGGACTTTGTGCGTTCCAGACTACCGTATACAAAAGCAAAGGTGCTGGAGCAAAGGGAGGAGGTTAGTGTGGGAACTTAGAGAGCATGGTCCTATTGGTGTCGTGGTTACTTATCGTCACAACGTGGCAAAGATGGGATGGGAGAACGAGGACGAAGGATAAACCGGGCTTTCGTGCGTTAAACAAATAGTGGGCATTACGACACTTATTTTGAATGTCTTTGTCACATAGCATGGTCCAAAATTTATCAATATAAAAGAGGGATAAATCAAATGAGTGGGTATAATTTACAATGGATTATATGTATATGAACAAATTGATTTCCGTACACGTGAAAAATTCTACTAGCTGTGTTTTTAAATATTTGATTGCCCTCAAATGGGCTTCTTGTGTTTGTCTGTTTGTATAGAAAAACCTTCTGATACAAAACATTATTTTTGAATAATACATACAAGAAATAGGACTGGGGCAGATTGAATGCCTAAAAAATTAAATATTTTAGATAATCATTAAGGGTTGTTATCCCCAATTTTTTGCTATGTAATGGTTACCTTAAAAGTGAAAAAATCGCAGACTTTGTGAACTTAGATTTTCGAATTAAGGGCTGATTTAACTTGTCGTCGTTGCGCATTAGTGTCTCAAGTCAATGTCCTTTTCATAGATCAAAATATATTAATACCAAATATTCCTTCACAAGATCCAGACTACTGACTAATGCCGTGCGTCCAGGGGTTTGTACATATTTCGATCACTCAACAAGGCGGATAGGTAATGCTTTAGTAGCTTAAAAACTTTCCAAATGTATCTCAAACAGCGTCGTCGGTAGATAAAACAAAGTGCCTTTCCTTGCAATTTCATGTCCTGCTCTAAACCTTAATAAGTTTTTGGGCTATTAAAGGGTGATGTGGCCAATTATTAAAACATGTCTTTTTCATATTTAAATCACGATCTTCGAATTTAACCTGTCAAACCCATAAAAACACTAACAGAACGTTACTGGATAAATGTGAAAATTTCAATTTTCATGTGACTGTCTTGTACTTGATATTTTAACAAAACTTCCTATTTCGCGATATCATGTTTTATTCCTCACAGTTGGGGACGGATATATAGTTTGAAGTGACTGTTTAATTGCACATTAATTTTAAGATTTTTTACCAAGTTCTGCATCATTATTTCAGTTGGTTTTGCATTTATCTTGTCTTTGGGGTGTGATCAACTGAATTGAATAGGAATAATTTTTGATACCAGTTTGAAGTTTTAACACCGCTTTAACCTGGGCTTTATTACGTTCTTAAATGTGTGCGATTTCTGCCTCGGCCTTTGTAGTTTCAAGAATTTTGGTATGCTAAGACTGAAAAAAATGCTTGCTGTCACCCAGGTTTGTCTCCCAGGATTATTTACTTGAAACACAACTTGTGTAACAGCTTTCAAAATACTTTATGTGCGTCCTCTATGCTGCGATTTTGTTTCAAGTAAGGGTAAAATTGTACTAATAAATAATGGTTGCGAACCACTTCAAATTACCGAAGATAAAAACCAAGAACGCACAAGTTGAAATCTTTTAATGTAATTAAGAAACAAATCAATCATTGTAAATATATATATTTGTTTGTATTTCAAGATGGTGACAAGTAACTGACAACACTAACAGCGATATTATTGTTTTCATTATGTGATTTTATGAAGTTTTAATCTATGACATGACTTTGGGTGCATGTGTGTCTTGGGGGATTAGTAGACGAAGGGCGTCGCCCGTTTTAGAAAAGAAACCCGCCCACAGAGGTAATCAAACTCCCCTGAAATTCCACTCTCCAATAGGGTTGCAGTAGATTTGGCCAAAATTAAAAAAAAGAACTCTTGTCCGTTGCGGTTATAACAAAAAAGCAGAAAAAAAGCCTTTGTCCTGTACGCTAAAGGTGTTAGAATCAAATATTGATATTGCGCATAATTTTGCAGTTACCTGGACAGTGAATGAGAATACTAAGTGAGGGACATGGGGTTTTTAATTTTTGTAAACGAAACACCAAACCAACGAAGTGATTATGTCAGAGTTTTAAAATTATGTTGTGGGCCCCATCATGTGGTCTCGGACCACACCGAGGCCAGTGAGTTAAACCTGGCCCGATTACGCTTCCCTGCAACCTACGAGAAAGAAAAGATCAGGAGATGACGGGACACAGCTATTTACTTCTGAGCTCAAACAAGTTGGTGTCGTGTCGTGTGTGGCGCTTGCGCGTGTGTATTTATACCTCAGAAGTGCGCCAACACCGAGGCCTAGGTATGACGGTAATCTAAGATAATCGTTCGCGCTAACGAGAGGGGAGTTGAAGATCCATAAGGCTGGCAACATGCTGCGAAAGGGGTACCCTGTTTCGGAGGCTGGAGTGATCGTGCCGGTATGCAAGCGTCCTGACGACGGAAATTTTAGTTTCACAGATGATTTCCACCTTTGCAGGTAAAAGAAACGCAGAAATAAACTAGCATTGAATTTTTTGCAACCCATTAACGTAGTTTAGTGATCAACTGCTTAAATGGGTCGTGACGTACGTGGACCTTTTAAATGCAAAAATGGGCTTAGAATCTTTGCTCTCGCTTGTCCTGGTGATATCCCTTCGTTTGACTCAACTATTAGTGTACAAACATCTATAATGTCTAAAAGATTGACTGATGGTTTTGAACAAGTAAACAAAACTTTTCAAAATATTTCCATTTTAAGCAATACCAAATTTCACTGCGTTGCAAGTTAATTTGTGTCTAGAAGTTGCTTTAAACAATTACACTCAAAGGTTTTACAATGCAAAATGAAGCCAAAGAGTAGATTTCAGTACATTTTGATTAATAAATGCATTAAGCATATGTGAATCCCTAAACTACTGCGAGATTTAACGTGACTGTTGATGGTGGGGCTAGTGGTCTTCCATATGCGACGAGAAAATCGTCAAATTTTTGTGACTTTACTGTAAATAAAAGTATTGAGCTAATGTCACGAATCCAACTTATTCTAGGCCATTGAGTCTTACATTCGACCAACCACACGCGACAAATGTCTAACTATTCTGATTGGTTAGCAGAAACAACTTCAGAGTGTTACTTTTTATTTGTTTGTACTCTGATCGGTAAACATGGCAAATGAGGAGGTATGTAACTCGGTTCATTTTGTAACCAAAAGCTGAAAACTGTCCCATCCACTCTGAATCCGCTGCATGCATAAGTTTCCCATTTGTTAGCACACTAAGAATTCAAGATTGATGTTGTGGAAAAACGGGCTATCCTTAATAATTTTAAAAATCCTCATTGAGATTTCTGAACATTAGTTGCTAAGACACCTAACAGAAATTTCATTGGTGTAATTTTTAATGCAAATAGTTCTTCCTAAACTACTGTAAATTTACGATTTGATTTCTATAAGCCGTGCAATAAAACAATAAATTCGGATGTTTTGTGCATCTCTACACAATTTAACATTTGAGACCTTTTTGTCACATTTTTAAACATTCTTATTATATTACCCCAACATTCTGTCCTAAAAAGAAAACTAGTCATTGCCAAAATTTGCCGTCATTTTAACTTATTGTAAATCGCTGTGTACAATATCTCATTTTCAGAGCTGGTGAAATGTATTGCACCGACATAATTAAAAATTACGACATTTCTACCAAAACGCACACAAAAACTTTTGCCAATTTGGTTTTACTAGTTGTTTTTTCCACAATCTCATGCCATTTTTCTGCAGGACTATTAGGTTAAGTGACTTTTAGTACGTGAGGTGCCGATATTTCTAAGTAAACCTATTTTGTTGATTTTTACACAATTAAATATTCTTTAAGAGAGACCAAATTCAGATGTGTTCCTTTTTGGTGAATCTGATTAGTCAGGATTAGCACATGCGACAAGTTTACAGGACAATTAGACATGCAGTGTTTTGGAAAATTAGGATTGAAAAAAATTGGTTAACAATCAATTTCATTAATCTACTTATCTAAGTAAAGTATCAAATTTTTTTAAGTTAATGTAAAATATTGAACATTTTAATGCATACAAAAATCTAGTATTGTGCTTTCACTGCGGACGAGGACATATATGGTCGCGTTTGTTCAAAATTGTCTGCAGGGTAAAATTACAAGACAAAAAACGACCACTAAGGCAATTTTAACCACAGTGCTGATATATTTTTACTTTGAGTTCAAGTGTTGTTAAGTGTAATTAATTCGTTCCTATTTTAAGTACCTCCGTAAAAGGGAACAAATTATCACAGAGTTATTTTGGCATCTGAAAGGTGTAATGACCTTAATTCATGGAAGCAAGCAGCCCCACAAACTATAGACCTATCACCAACTCTTCTGTTTCGCGGTCAAATATTCAGCCACCAGAGCTCTGTAAATGCCTCCAACTATTCCCTTTCACATTATTATCTTTCTTTACACTATGGATTACACTTATTCCATTAAAACTTGACCGCTTTATGGAAAACTGACTTAGATCACTCAAAACAAGGCTGCTCAAGATATTATGGGTTCGCTCACGTACTCCGATTAAAGTTCTCTAAGAACGTGGCACACACGACGGACCGAATGGCTTAAGCTGTACGCACTTCCAACATCTGGTGTTTCGAATGTTTAGAGATAATGACTAACGACAGTCAAGTGCTGACCAAAATACGTCTACAATGGTGTCTTTGAAATAAAAAAGGCAAATGCCTTTTGCACCATCTTCTCTCTCTTCCTCATACTCATCAAAGTGCTGCAACGAAGAAAAGCCATGCTGTCTGCCACCTTATATCACTGATACTCTGAGGTCAGCATACTGAGTTTGGACGCATAAGTCGTGACTAGCTAATTGAATTTCCAAGACCACGTTTCTTCTGCTAGTTCCTAGCATTAAATCTACTTAAACTTTAGTTGGATATAGTTAATTTTCACCCCTTAGAGAACTTGACCACGTACAAATTCAAATTCAAACACAGGTAAACAAGTTTACTTAAAGAAAACTAATTGAGTAGGGCTTCAAATTGCTCCATAAATTGTGGCATTTAACAGAGGCTTTCATATCTCGGTGACAGAGTGCATTAATTCTTACATCAAGCCTCCTTTAATGGAACAATTCCCCATTTAGCTCAATTTAAGTTAATGCATTATGTGTTGGGAAATTTGCTAGAGAGATGGCATTGTCAGTTGTCAGAAATTCTTTCGGCAAAACCGGTTGAAATCCAAAGAATTAGGGCACAGTGGTTAAAAATATACTTTTATATATGAACCCTTTACCTCTCTTATTATTGTCAAGTTTAAACCTGGATTTCTTCAATCGTTAGCCAGATAATCATGTTCAAAAACAACTGTCGCTAATACCGGCATTTTTAACAACTTAAGAAAAGCGTTGGCTGTCTTGATGTTCCACATTAATTGGAATCTTAGTTTGTAAGAAGTAGTTGTTAAGTTTAAAACGGTAAATTCGTGATCAGCCTGTTACTTTATCATCAATTTGATGAACTAGTTTGTAGAACTTTGGTTTACCTGATGTAATAGTGCACAGTGTCGATGCAATCTACGCCTAGCATTCGCTTCGACTGCTGTGGTCCACTAGTTTGCTTAGCTCATAGATACAGGTGAAAGATAACGAAGGTTTATATGCTAAGGTTTTAATATTTCCTACAAGGATCGTTATCATGTTATTTAATGTTAATACTAACGCTCTTTCATCGTTTTTTAAGAACTCTAACGGAAGTGCATGCAGACTCGCAAAGAAGAGCGAAGAGGCATGCATTTGTACGTCTGTATATTTGAAATGTATTTATTTAAGTGTTTTTCAAATTGCAATGTAGAAGTATCCTTGTATATGTTAAGTATGAGGATAAAAAATATAAATATAGGATAGGTTTGTACCTCAGTAACATACATACGAAAACGACTCTCTTTCGATTTTTAAACTAATTTGTATGTGATCAGATTTCTGGGAACCAAATCAAAAAACCTAAGTACTTGATCCTATTTTGTGAGAATTTAAGCAATTAACTTTTTTATCAGAACGGCAAGCCTTTTAATTGGATTGTAAAATTAGTTCGGAAATAGTTTTAATTTTGGTAAAGATAGGGCGAGAAATTTAACAATCACTTACCCTTAGAGTTCCTTACCATTATAACCATGCTAAAAATTGGTATGCTAGTCAATGTTACTGAACTAATAAACGTAAAACCACTATTCGCAGCTTTTATAAACATATTTTACATGTAAAGGAATTACAGATAGAATCCACTGAATGTGTGAAAGCACATGTAAACCTATGAAGCAGAGTCATTAAGATGGTAGTAAGTAGATACAAATTAAAATCCACGACTAAATACAAGGGATATTTTTGAGGGAAAATAGTGATTTGATTAAATATAACGTAAAAAGCTTATTACTGATATTGACATGTTGTTGGAGAGGCACCAATAATATTACGAATCGCAATTTGTTAACGGTTTATGATAGATTGAGTGCTTGTGAATAAGCATCAAGCATCCACGACATCGCGAAAATGACAAAACGGTTGTTATGAATTGCTGGGTGTTACTTTCCTGCATGCATCACAGTATCTCATTTGGACAAGTTACGTTTATGTCCCTGGCCAAACGTCCCTCGATTGTCAGACCTTCAAGTGCCTTTTGACAGAGGCCACATAGGATTTGCATTCCAATTAAATTCATATATATTATTGATTCATTTCCACTAGCAAACTCTTTTGATGTAAGAAGACGGAGAGTAAATATTAATATTTGATTACCATGGGAGGTGCACTACTCTGTAATGTGAGCCGACATATGTGTCCTAGATATAGAACATACTTAGAGCATGGCATGATCGACTTTTTTATTTGATCTCTAAGTCCAGGATGACGCAAGAGGAATTGAAGTCCACCGTAACAAATATTTTATAGAGAAAAATACTGTTTATGCAGTTTTCGTTTTTATAGCACTCAAAGCTGCTCTCTTGATACAAACTTGGTATCGGCGTCATCAAGCTGAGCTCGAAATGCGCCGTCGATGCGCATGGAAAATATACGAACTTTTTGAGTACTCCGGAATCGAGGACCAACGAGATGTGGGTGAAGTGTACCAATTTGAACTCAAAAAACATATCTGATCTATCAATATTGCTAAGGCAAGACTAGACCTAATAGATGCGAAATTAGCAAAACAGGATTTTTATGAACAGGTCCAAGTATCCGAGACCCCGTCTAGCTGTTGCCTTTCTTACCGATTTTCGGTGACTGACAAAATACTCACACATACTGTAGCAGCTGTGTTTAGGATCAGGTAGCTAGATACCGTATCACTCAGAAATCAAACAATGAGATATTTGAACAATTCAGTGATTTACTAAGTGATATTAATGACTTTCGGATGACTGGAAATCGACAGACATTTCAAAATGTGGACGCGACATGCGATTATGTTTCATCCGATATTTATTACAAATTTATTTTATGTAGTATGAGGTTATTATAACAAATCAATAATAGCTGTTTCATACGACGCCTCTATTTTAAATTTGGCAACAGATTCTAGCCAGCTTTCATTTTTTATCGCATTTCTTCCTCACAACGCAACTTTGTGAACAATAAATTTGATCAGGGATTATCGATCCCGTAGACTAGAATGCTTTCGTTGGTACTTAGGAAATTTGGTATTGTGCAGAGCCACTATCTAACTCGATGCACTCAGAGAAGTATTCCCAGCTGATTTGGTAGTCCCCACAAAACTTCTTACGTATGCAGATACATTTAACTTTCCTTGGTCATATATCCATCCCCGACTCACAAGCTCCTTCAAACTTTGCTCAAAAGACTTCAAATTAGCAGGCGAGTGGACGTTGGTATCCGCCTAGTCCCCGGCCCTCTTTCTAGTCGTGGTTTTATTGATTCATCAAAGAACTGACATAATGTGACCAGCAATCTACTACCTTACACTGACTGGCAGGTTTAAGTGATTTGTACAACTCACATTTTGCTGTGATATTCAACCTCACCTCAGCTTTCAAGTATTGACACAATTCCATCCGAAGTTTCATTTTACAACATGAATTTGGGCTCATCTAACAAGAAATTCTCCTGATCTCAAAGTAATGAGAACTTTACTGGGTTAAAAGTCTAATAATAACTTGCTATACAAAGGCCTACTAACACGACTGTCGGCAGTTGGCATTTTCACACTATTCCATACCGATATTGCCATAACGTGCATAAAAGTAAGAGAACAAAGGAATGTAGAGGGATTTAAGTTAGGGATATTTGCAATAATATTTGTAAAGATCCTTAGTTTCCAAACTGGAATGTAGGGGATTACTAAATCTGTTTCATTTTACCTAGCTCAAAGAATTTTTCACTTGGATTTTGAACAACTACGGTCGTAAGTTATTTACTATTGAGAAATATATCTAACAACAGTACACAAAATGTGCATTGGTTTAAATTCAATGGTCATTATTACTGTTTATTTATTAATCTGATTTAATGGAGATTATCTGTTTTACAAAACACTGTGCTGGAGATAGTTTGAAAATTCAATTCACCAGAGACACCACCTCTTTTAAATTGACGTAACAAAATCCCGAGAATTTATTATTACTTAATTATCCAAAATAATTGTATTTTACCGAGTACCCTAATAACATATGCACTGCATTCCTGCATCATTTTTAGTCGATGCATTCAAAATATGTGAAAAAACAAATAATACATTTTAACTCATTACATGTTTTACTTAAAAACAGGAAAGCTCACTTGGAAATCAGTACGAACCGTTCTTGCTGGTCGAAAACCCATCTAATAAATCAGTGATTGGGATTTAATTAGTAGCTCAATTTACCTCTATGGCACATAATTAAAAGATTGATATAAAGTAAAAAAACCAGTGTAATGATTTTGCTTGACTTATTTTAGAGGCTCAAACTTTGCCACCGTCGTCCACCACGAAAACAAACCTCCAAATGAAAGGCACGCTCTCGCATAATTTTGAGCGACGTCTTCAAAAAATGAGCCTCATGGCAAAGTCCGATTCTCGATGCAAAGGCCACTCCTTCCGCTCGCGCGGTTCGTGTGAACACTCACGCCTCAACAATGACTACATTCAGAATATAATTGATTTTCAGAAACAGGACAAGGTGGGGATTTTGGGTTAAACCAATCCTCGTTTCTGTCAGCCATTTGAAGCATAGGTGAAAAACTGTCAGCATTTGACATCAAGGGATTTCATTAGCTCTGGCATAGTAGCCAACTTCAGTCGGATCCCATGAAACCACTTTTCATGGCATTATTCGAAACAAAACGTTTGGTAATCCAAGCACAATATCGCAAAGCACTTTGTATGTGCTAATTAAAAATGTTAAAAATAATTGCTTATAGTTTCTATAAAGTTCAACGAGTGTTAAGTTTCATACGTTTATTAATAGTTAGAATTCAAGTAGGTTAATTGCCGAGGTCAGAAACAGTTGCTCTGGTTGTCAGCAAGATACCTGTGTTGATATCGAAGACGCAAATGGCAACGGAAGATAAAAGCTGAAGAATCAGCAGCCAGACAAGAAAGCGATCCAAACGATCTCGCTTTCCGTAGGAACCGGCGTGGCTAGATAACATTTATGCAGTGTCCCGAGAAATCTGGTCACTAAAGGTCATTTCGCAACAAACTACTAAACAACCCTTACTTCATGCCTACGCTTGAAGTTCTCGTGGCTGTTGTGGGTCAATAAATTTCCAAATATGGTACAAATTTGCCTAGCGAGTGATAAAAAAATGCAAGTGCGTAAAAGGACAGAATTGTAGACTCTTGAATCATGTTTTAAGTTGAATTTTACTAAAAAAAAGTCTGAATAGGGTAGTCAATTTTGATTTATTTGATAGCAATTTTCTTCTTCAAAATAATGAGATCAATAGAAAAATGTTAAAAGCCATTTTGGAATTATTTAATCAATCTTGCTTTTTACCGAACCAAAAGAAATTACTAAAGAGTTAAAGGCGTCGTTTGTGTCTTTTGATATTTCCTTGAGATAACATTTGATCTGGTTGCCAATGCCACCAACAAAGCTAGGCATGATGTGCGGGAATCCTGGCAATTTACAGAACTCCATAAAAGTCTTTCTTATAATGGGCCAAAATACATTACTTTTTGTTCAGATTCTGGATCCCGAACTCGTCAGCGATGTGTTGGAAGAAGCGACTGTTATTCTTCAGGCAGTTCCAAATATTCAGACGGCTTCAACAACATTGTCACAACGAATTACGATTTGTGGAGACCTCCACGGTCAAGTAGAGGACCTAACTCTCATTTTTAATATGGTGAGAGTAACTTGCGCAATGGTTTCCACGACTTCTCTATTTAAGGTGCCGCTTTAACAATTTCTTGCTCATGAACGCCTGCATTTTTCAGTTTTTTTACACGGATGTTGGGAAAAATGTTTTAATGCGTCCTTTGTCTTTCCTTTGGTTATAAAATGATTCGACTAGGATGACTGCCTGGTTTCCAAAACGCCTTATTTTGTATTCTAACTGTCATATTGTAAAAAAGAGGAAAAATGGGACGCTTACATTCAAAAAAATCAAAATATAAATCAAGTTAAAACAGTTGCGCTATGAGATCTTTATGTCAAACCAAAACTGACGTAACTGGTCAAATCATGTTTAAGGAGCTAGTGCTAAATAAATGCGCGCTTCCACTTGACTGCAGTTTTTGTGCAAATGCTCAAGAATTAAGAAAAAGTTACCAGTAGGCATTTTTCAAGTTAACTATCATTTATCCTGTGGTTATTTGACGTATTGTTTTGCAGAACGGCCTTCCTGATATTTTTAACCCATACATATTCAATGGGGACTTTGTTGATCGCGGTAGTCATTCAATGGAAGTCCTCATCATCCTACTCTGCTGTCTGATTGCTCATCCCTCTGCGGTTTATCTTAATCGAGGCAATCATGAGGATCCAGTTTTAAATAAACGGTAGGATTTCCGATGTTTGTAGTACAAAGCTTACTTTCTCATCCGATGTTAAGCAATTGCCTGCTTTTTTCTTAAACAGGTATGGATTTGCGGACGAAATTCGTTTAAAATATCCGGTGGGTAACATTTTGCACTGGTGCTTTCATGTGCATGCCGAATACCGTGCAATTATTCATCGATGCTCACCTCGCGGAGTTTATGGACACTTTCTTTTTAAAATACATGATTGGCAAACTGTGAACCGCTTAGGGTAAATGCTGAGGGTAAATAAAATCAAGTACAAGGACAAACAAGGTCTGCTTATAAAAATCCTCAATCAGAGAAAGTCACCGTCACTTTTGTTTGCACTTACTGACTCCGTCTTTGCTATATTTTCCACACATTGACATATCTAAAACTGCGTTACTAACTTTAATCCTAACTTGAATCACTAACGCGTCAGGTGTAACCAAACGAAATCTCCCCGGTTGACATTGCTAATTGGTTTCAACTGCCGGAAGATAAACATATTTATTTGACATTGAATCTATGAAGTCCTCAAAATTGTACTTTCCAGTATACTTCTGCTTAACATAGCTGTAACCGCTTCAAAAGAATCATTAGTTATTGGGAACCAATTCACTTTAAAGTACATCGTAATTGAACCAGATTTAGAGGAGTTCACTTTCATGAATATTTCCCAAATTGTTTGAAAGTTGAATAGATCTTTAAATTATCGTCAAGCCATTACTCAGTAGAAAAGTTTGTTTAATGATTCTCGAAATTATTATTAAATAAAGAATGGTGTAATCGTCAATTATCAGGTTTATCAAGTAAAATATGCAAGTTTGTGAACCTAATGCTTACCTCTCCGATGTTAAAAATTAATTTTATCCCTGAATACATTTTGAGCTAATCGACCACAATACCAGTAAGTTATTGTGTCGTTTTGCATTACCAAAGCCAATCACATTTTACCCAAAAGTATTGGCTACGTGAATTGTTCGTTTTTGCGTCCCCATGCTTTAGTCCACACGAAAGGTTTATTATATTTTAGAAACACTACAGGAGAATTTTGAAGCAAGTGGAACAGCTTTTTTGTGCAATGCCAATTTGCACGATTTTAGACGAAGTAATTCTGGTTTGTCACGGAGGTCTTTCAAGGACAACTGACCTCACAAAAGTTGCCAAACTTGATAGGAAAGGGGTAATTGCATTTGAATTTGAATGCTTTATTCATTTAAGTGCTTTCATCAAAACCTTTGATCAATAATTATTAATATTATTTCTATGCTATTAACAATCATTGGGCTCCTTTTTTATCACGATTTTTGATCAATTGCTTACTTGGTAATCAAGTGATGTCAACATTTACAAGCCGTGATGATGCTAAAGATTTGTTTGTATCCCACGTGGCATAAAGCTTTAGGTATTAGAAACTAATTTAAGGAAAAGTAACAAGAATACAAATTGATGTTGTAGATGGTCATTTTAGAAAATTGGATGCTCAAGCCACAATGCCTACTTCCTCCAATCTCCCATTTCAACTTTTTCCGATTTGAATTCCAAATATGGGAATTAGAAACACAAGTAATTACATATAAATCGAAATTAAAAGCAAAGTATCTATACACGTTGATGAATCATTGACGTATAGAGGCTGGATCCAAGTCGCATTTTTAGCGTCATTGCTCCAAATACCGTTGTCTAACCTAAACTTTTTCTAAATTTGGCCGTCTAGTTTTCTTCAGTCCTGCAACCCCCTCTAGAAGGTGAGAAGGCGGTACCTATCGAGGATTGGCGACAGGTAAGTTACCTCAATTATCACAAATAAATTTGCCTAAGCATACAAAAAACAAGTGGCAATAACGATCTGGCTGATAATGCAAATACTCCACATTTTTGCTGTATGCTTATTCACTAACAAGACGTATTGTGTAAAATTGCGTTCAGCTTAAATAGATTTTTTCACGTTTGAAGCTTTACCACGTTTGAAGCTTTGCTGATTACGATAGATGAACAACCAAACTTAAAATTCAAGTCCATGGAACCAGCTGTCAAAACAAAATTTTCATATTTATTAAAGTTATTAGTAAAAGTGATTCTATTACAAAACGTCCATGAAATATGCACACCTGTCATTAGTTAAAATACTAAAATTAATGGCTTTACACAGTTACCACGCAAATTATGTCAAGTATGTCCTAGTAAAATGGGTGTCAGGATAAGTTTTCAAATACGCAGAGAAACATATTCTCAATACAACGCTCTAACAAGCATAGGAGTTGCACTGACAAGGCCATCTGTAAATGACTCCTAAAGGACTGGAGAACTGATGCTAGATGAGGAAGAAGCAGTAAGCCATCATGCTTTCACGTTCTTGAATTAAAAGTCACCGGGAAACAATCAACATAGCTTGGTAGTCTAGATCATGAAAATTGCTTTATCTAGTTACTGACAAGTAATTGGTTTGTTCGAGTGATCTACCGGGTGAAATAGTTGTCACTAGACTAAATTTTTTTGATGATGACCGGCGTGTTCAAAGTTCACAGGAACCACAAGATAATCGTAGAAGCCTTATTTTATGAACGCGTTTTGTTATTTTGAGAATCTCAACACTTTGTTTCGACAATTTCATAGATATTGCCGTCAATGTACAGTATCGTCTGTACAGTTTTAGTAGGTTTCGCTTTAAGGGGCAATGAGCGTCAAACATGCGTAATTAAGCGTGGCTAGCAAAACATCCAGACAATAGGAGATTAATTTTATGGGAACATCAGTAAACCACACCGCCTAAAGACGAGTAGGCTACATCTAGTTCATTTTCTAAAATACGCTTATTTCGTTTTTTTAATCCCAACCAGATCCTTGATTTATTGTGGAGCGATCCTCAGACGATGACCGGCTGCAAACCAAATATCAAACGCGGAGGAGGCAGCTACTTCGGACCAGATGTAACCGCCAGCCTCTTAAGCCATCTCAAGATCGGCATTCTTATACGCTCACACGAATGCTGTCCTAATGGCTGGAAACTCGACCACAATAAAAAGGTTTGCAAGAGACCTGCAATTTAGTTCATGATTATTATTTAGGATGTTCTAGAGCCATGTTTTGCTGTTGGCGCATCAAATCATCGAAAGGAAAGCGTGTACTTTTTAATGAGAATATTACTCTGCCGATGAGGTTTGTGAGACCTCACTACTTTATTTGTAATGCTTTCATTTGTTGTTCATGAGGGATGGAATTCTAATGCACTGTAACTTTGCCGGCACAGATGAGCCAGTATAACGGCAAACTAATTTTGATTTCTTAACTATGTCACCAAATTAAACCTTTTTGTAGTATCACTAATCTTTTGCAGATTGTGACAATGACGGGTAAATCTTTCAGCCCTGAGTGCCTAACTTTAGAATCTATTTTTAGTTTCCGCATATTGGTCTTAGATCTCTAAGTGACCATTCCATCCCCTTATATATGACTTCAATCGATCGCATCGTCATGCACGTTGACTGTGATGGCTACGGAAAAGGTATAAGTGACAGTCACCGCTAAATAACAATCCCTTATTCCGCCAAAAACATAGTACTTGGAAAAAATGCACATATTTAGAGGCTAAAATTTTTATCAAAAACAGCAAAAAGGGGTTTATGCCAGTGAGTTTATTGACTAAGAAGCTTATGTTCCCCTAAAGACAAAGTTCAACTTTAGAAATACAACCACAATACGAAAGTGGCCGCTTCATCGCGATCCGTTATATATTCCCTGAAAAATTGAAACCCTGAGTTGTATAAAATCTACAAGCCCATGGAAGAAACGCAGCCTAGAATGCTTTGTGTGAATGCGATGTATAAGCACATAGCGCAAAGTAATGAAGTTAGCCAAAACGAGTATGGGCGTCTACTTGAATACATTTGTGCAAGGGTCTTCGCAACATCAAGGTGGTACCTGTAAAATTACTTACAAATCAACTTAGAGTTATCCGAAGAAGAAATTAATCAATTTCAACATGCTTCCTTTTTTTCGTACTTCACTTCAGCTCCAGACTTGTAAAAGTAAATTTTGTTCATTTTACGGCGAATCTACTGAATGGTTTACATTTAAACATATTTTGCGAGTTTGAGCAGCTGCTCATTAACCAAGAAAACTCTAGTTTCTAAAATACATTTCACGCTTAATTATGGAAACAAACAAGAGATATCAATAAAGAATGCAAGCGTCTTTAGAAATGTTAAACAACGACTTGAACAATAATATTTGATTAAAAATGCGACCTACCAGATTAATGCTGTCATGCCCTTAGATCATGAATTTGTATACGTGAAAGGTCATGCTGATTACAATTCAGTACCTCGATAATTTATCACAGCTAAAGCCGGTTACTGGGTCAGACATCAGGTAGTGCTTTACTCTGGCACATATTAGTGGCCACAAACTTGACACTTTGGGGTTCAGTCTGAACTCATTATCTAGCAGTTGATTGCACAAGTTGGCAAAACGAAGCGACCATTCTTCCTTCCGAAACTGCCACATTGTTAGACCTACGCGGACCGTATAGCAGCACCGAAGCAATTCTTTATTGTCAAGGTCTTGGACGCCTTTTTACCATATTATTATTCCCTTTTGTAATCTATTTTCTCAAAAAAAGAGGCATTGCCTGGCCACTCATTCGCATTTCGTGACGCTTCTTTTGATGAGACTACGTTAGAATACTGGCTTAATTCGTTTCACAGTGGAAAACTAACTGTAAGGATTTCGGGCAGGCAAAATACTTATACGAGAATTTTAATCTAAATGTATGTAACAGTGTATTGCTTCTGCTGCCAAATGGACGAAACGAAAACGTTTTTAAAGGAACAAATATTATTATTGTGAATTCTTGCAAATTTAAGGGCCAATTTTTAAGATACGTTTTCTAATCTTTCTACAATATGTTAGTCTTAAAGAGCGTGCCTAAACCACCTCAGAATTGCAAAAATTTCGGTACAAATGGAAGCAAAATCGGCAACTAAGCCTGCTTAGAAATTTAGTTTTTAATTTTTACAAACAATATCCAATTATGGCATGCGGTGAAACAGTTATGCTACATTAGTCAATCTAAAAATTAGCACTATCTTTTAAGACAGTGGTAATACCATTTTTTGTAAATGCCATTTTGAGATCCTAAATCTGAGGTATACTCATGGACTGTAGTAAACTTGGAAAATGAGTTGCATGTCGGCGAAGCAGATGAATAAACTCCCGTGATTAATGCACTAGTGATTCCTCTTTGTATTCACACTGACAGTGAATAAGGGCAGTTGTGACCCCAATAATTCATGTGTCTGATAGGTGAAGTTACGCATTGAAACATCTCGTACTTTTCAAATGTAATGACTTTAAGTGAATGACATCTCTGACTGTGTCACAGTTTACAGCACATGATTTTAAGGCTGCTGCATTATCTACCGATTTTCTTGTATGGGGTATAATGCAGTGGATAATGTTTCTTTAATTACATTTGTAACTCACATACTAAGGAGTAAATTCCACCATCTGCTTAGAGTTCTATAATTTTAAGGTGCAAAATCCAGCTTGCAGGAATGTTATCTAAAAAAATTTGAATTGATTGTGAAGAGGCAACTCATTGCGTGTTTACATGATCTTTGCGTCTGGAATTTCTAAATAAGGTCTATGTTTGTATTACGTTCCACAATGTTAGGTCCTGACCGTATTCTCCGCCTCCGATTACTACGGCCCAAACAGCAATTTGGGTGCATTCGTCCAACTATCCTCCCAGCGCGTTGTAAGCGCTGCACAAGTCGAGGCTAAAATCAGCATCGCCGAACCAGCCGAGGAAACAATCCGTGATTTGCCCCCGTTTCAACAACAAGGAAAGGTCAGAACGGCTTACGACACCAGCTCCATCATATTTACACGCATAATCAAACAGGCTGACAACAGAGAGGACTCAGGGACAGGACAAAAACACATCACAGAAACGCTAATTATACCTCGTGTAGTGACGTTTCGTGCCGGAAACCTAAGGCAATTTCAAACTAATCTCAGCAGAAAGTAAGTATTTCTCACAGCTCCTTTTATGGCTTGCAAAATGGCTAATTCGATTAAAACAATGAATTGCCAGGTTCCTTTAATGTAGAATTAAGAAAACTGTTTAAAGCATGTGTGAAGAAGGGTTTCGGTTTAAGAGATCTGCTTGACTCGAATGGTAAGATGGAAAATACGGTGAATGAGTTAGCAAAAATGCTTCTGAGAATGGTTTGAAGGATATCTAAAAGAACAACCTAAGACTGATTTGTGCAAAATTTCTAGTAACAGTCACTTTCTTTCAATTTCTCCTAAGTCTTGTTTTCTCGGTAAATGATATATCGCATGGCTTTGTACACCTCCAACATATAAACACGTAGGTCTGAATTAGTGCATGGTCTAGCAGGTGTAGAGTATGTTCCACCAGAGATGCGGCATCACTCCTTCCATTTCGCCCAGTTTGACATCAACAAAGACAGAGCTTCCTTCTGATGAGTTGCGGCGAAGAGGAATGATAGATGCTTCGTGCATCCAACAGATAGCGAATTCCGGTCGAAGCATCAGTTGGCACAAGGGTGGAATGGACCAAATTACGCAGTGATAGAAAAAGACACACACAGCTATAATTGAGAAGTCCTTCAAGCAGACCTCACTGAAGTGCTGAAAAGCACTGGGAAAGGTGGCGTCGCGTGCTTTTCGAAAGATTGCTTCAATAGCCCAACTTATTTACTCTGATTGTGCTTGTATTAGCTTTCAATTTTGCACTCTCCTCATGCTCCTAAATTCGACTATCATCTGGAAGCTTTTTTTCGAAACACGGAAGACTTATTAAATGACTTACGATAGGATGACTATGCAAATTTATCAATAACATTGAAAAAGCAGAATTGAAAGGCACCTTAATTCTCAATCGAATCATTTGTGGTGGAAGGTCTCGTTATTGAATCCTTTTGCAACTAGAAACCAGATAATTCTCTGCATCATTTCAATATGTGAACGTACATGTGTCAATAAAACGTGACGCTTAATTTCTTCAAATTTTCTTTTCAGTAGGATTGCTAGAAAATGATTAAGACCAATTACGTTGGTCGAGTATATCGCTGGAACTTCAAGACAAACACTTTTACTCTTTTGTAGTTACTCAATTTGGTGTGTGTCTTTTAATCACACATGTTTGAAAAAGGTTCGATTAAGCTTCCCATATCTTGTTTTTGTTGTTTCACTGCAGGAATTCAAGTGACGTGGCTTTTCGAATGCTCCTTAAACGAATCATGAGTCGAAAGTCGAGTATTTTGGCCGCGCTGCATGAATACGACAAAAGGCGGACTGGTAACTTAGCAAATTTTTTTATTGTAAACCCACCAATTTTATCTTTTGTATATATACTATAAAATGGTTTAAAATACATAAAAATTAGTGGTTTTCCTTGCACCTCTTTTTTGTTGTCCGACTAAAAGGAATGTTTCGAAGCTATAGTTTGACTGTATGTGGGATAGTCGTTTGATACCACTTTGGTTTAAGAGTCGTGTTCTTTGAAATTTCGATTTATTGAACCCTTTGTTTTATTCGAATTTGCATTTCAAAGCTACTGAAATATTGGCAAAGTTTGTTTTGAAATTAATCACATGTTTTTTATTACCGTTGATGAATTTGCCTTTCCCGTCAATGCTTTCGCGTATTAAATCAAAATTACAGGAGAAGTTACAATTACACAGTGGTGCACAGTGATGCTGAAAATGGCTGGCCAGAACCTGCCATGGAGAATATTACGGTATTCCCTTGTCAGACCATCCATCACCCACCCAAAAACACACGTGTTTTACATGTCTATGTTTGATCCCAAACACGAAATCTATTCGGATTCTATGGTGAGATATTTGATTAATTTGCTACACCCGATTTCTCATAATTGTACCCTGCGCAATAGTGCAACTTGTGAGGCTGTTAGAAAGCACGCAAAATCATGCAATTTAAGACCCCGCTTTGTTGCTCACTCCCCAGTTAATCAACAATCCATTTTCTCATTTTTTTCAGTACCGTCTTTTATTGACTCAAATAACTTACATTTTTGTACAATATAATAATTGCAAATGTTTAACGACAGACCAAAATCATCATTTCCAGGATGATTTACGATCACCAACAATGTGGTTACTAATTTCAAATCACCTTCCCCCGTAGAGAGGTATTTCTTAAAGTCAGGGAGTATTTAATACAAAATGCCACTTTCAAAATGGCTCGTTGAGTTTTACAAACTTTTTAACTGCTGAATTCCTTTGGCAAATTTTGATGATTTGAAATAATTTTAGGCAGCGATTATTTCGGGAGCATGAAACACGAGTTTATGGCCACTGTTAAATAATTTGCCAATTTTAGTAAAATTTAATAGATTTGTTAAATAGAAATCAGGTGAAAAAGAAACATCTTGAGCCTCATATCTTCAAAATTAACATAAATCCTTGCAATGTGTCAATCAAGGTAACTGTGGTTACTTGCTAAAAATAATGTGGTCTTAAAGGTAAAAACTTTGGTGTGACATAGGGTTTATTTTGGCAATCGCATTGACTCTAGTGTAATTGTCACTTGAATTGCATTTCAAAGAGTGTTATCACTGCTAGTTATTATTAGTGCTGCATCCAGCAAGGGTCTGGTGCAATTACAAAAAGACAGTAGTTTTAACAAAATCTTTGTTGCTAATTATTGCATGATTTAGTAGCTAATTAATTAAATTTACTTTCAACAGAGTCTTATGCAACTGTTACACTGAAATGTATGCGAGAACTTAAAGAATGACAATTTTATAGTTGAGGTGCGGAAATAGTTAGTAAAGTTAAAACAAATCAATGGAAAGTCTTAAATCTCACTCCTTACGTAAGCCAAGCGAATGAAATAGATTCATTTCCCAGTGTAGAACATTTTTCTCAACTTACGCTTCTGTAACTCAGTAAAATTTATGACAATATTTTCCAATACCAGTTACCGTTGTTAAGCTGAATTACATGTTATGGGTAAATTAACTAACTTAGGCAGACATGCGCAGAGAATATGTGGAAGACCTGTCTTAAGGATGACCTTTACTGTACTAAGTACGATCCTAGTTACTTGGTACGGTTTTGGGCAAACTTCTGGCCAATAAACCCCAAACTAGGAAATTTATAACCAGGCTTGATCATCAAAGGATGATAGGAAGGAATGATAAAATATCACGTGTACTTTCCTGGTTTCGATGAGGGAAAACCAGTGCTATTTAACCTGTTTACGCACTGAATGTACAGCAATTCGTGTCATTTGCTTTTGCAATGGCTTTATCTCGCCATACAGGAATGCTTTATCGAGTTTAACGAATCCGATGTAGCTGTTAGAGTGAGCTGCTGCATCAAAACTGGCAAGTATTTTAGGAATAAGGTCATCATCTATAGGTTAAGGCCAATCTTGAGTGAAGATTCATGCAATTGACCACGTTGGCTATTCTGAAATGATGCAATAAATTTAGTTTTTAGGAGCTAAAGTCTTGCTTTATAAATTTTTTGATGATAAGCCTTGCAGCCATAGAGCCAAAACGCAAATATATCCATGGTTACAGTAAACTATTTTTGCAAGAATTACTTCCCTTGTACAAAATACATGTCACCATGAACCATTCTTTGGAAACGCACAGGCTTTCAAATTACTAGGTAGAAGCATTTAACAGTCTTCACCGTTTCTTCTTTGTTTATTAAAAATGCTATAATACAGATGAACTCTGTAAATGTGGACATCCAGCGACTACATATAGAAACGTTTGCTGAACTACAAGTCCTTGAAATGATGTCACTAAACCATCTCAAATTCTTAACAGCTGTGCTCATTTTCTTTGCTCATTGATCTGTTAATATACACAAACATCACTTTTTTTAAACCTGATTTAAGTCTTAGTGAGTTCTTTCACCCCAAACAGTGTCATACTTTTTGAACTCGCAACTAATACAGAACATTGCTGCATTGTCTTCATCACCACCAATGCAACCGGACCATAATTATGAATAATTCCAAAGGTCCCTGAAAGTCTGTCCAAATGGAACAGGAATTGATCCAATTAAGCGATGAAATTTTCCTATAAAGAGCAACCAACGGAAAAGCAAAAAAAGACCACTTCAAAAAATCTGATGTGATAAATTTATCAGTTAGATGAGTCACTTTCAAAAGATCTTGTTATCTATCTTAATTTGCAGTGTCCATTTCTCGGAATGTAGTTAGCCAACTTTTTTGTCTTGTTGATTGACGCCCTGTTTTGTACACGTAAAAGGAATACAATTTAATTGTAGCTTAGGCTTTGTTGTTTAGACCTTGTAGGTTGCTCCCTATAATTTCGTTGTTGTTATACCTGCATTATTTTTTATTGTCTTTCTAGAAGAGAAAACTTACCAGTGAATGTTACGCGAATTTGGATGAATTGGTTTCAATTTTCAAGCAATTTGACAATGAAAACAATGGTAGGTAGCATACATTTTCTGAGTGGCCTCATCTCGAAAGTTAATAGTTTGCAAGCATGGGGTTCCTAAATCGGTTGCTGGCAAATTTTAGGAAGAACGAAATTTGAC